TGTTTGAGTTGCTGTTTGTGTTCTGAGATGCCAATTAATCCCTATGTGCTGCTGCCCTAAGCTTGAGAACTTAAAGGTTCTGTTAATTGTAACTCCTACATTTGTATCCAGACCTGTGCTCTTGTCCAGCTTCCCACTGGTTCTCCTCTCATCCTCAGGTATACAAGGGGGTGTTCCTCTAAGGGCGGTAGCTTAATCCACATGAGTTCTTGTAGCAAAATGGAAGAAAGCAGCAAGTGTTAAAATAGCTCTTTTCCTTGCTGTGAAAGAGGGCTGTGTCCAGTTGTATGAGGAAATGAAATGGAAGGGGAATTGTGGAACATCTAGATTAGAAATTTTAAAACTAACTGGGCACAGACAGAATGGCACAAAGAAAGTCCCTGTCAGCTGTCTGCTGTGCTGCCTGAGGTTGGACTGGGAAATAAATGTATGATCAACTCAAGCATCTGGGAGGCATTCTGTAGCTTGGACTTAAGTCACCAAAGTACTGAGCCTTTTAGACAAGTATGTACATGTTTTACCAGCAGCTAGCCAACATGCTGATCAGAAGTATGGTTTGTAGGCTCCAGAGGCAGACAGTGACCCTTTTGGAATAATTTTGCCTCTGACAACCCTCTTGAACTGCTTCTTACTCACCTCTGGCCACCCTGGAGATAGGCTAACTGTTGCTACTTGGCCTGTTACCTTTCAACCATGCCTTGTGTAGTGTCTTTCCTCTCCTTCAGTGTCTTTCTCAATCCAGAGGTGCACCAGCCTCTTCTGCTCTTGTGTGTTAGATGTTGCTCCTTAACCTGCCACAGAGTGAGAACGAGGTGGTAAGAGAGGTGCAGATGTTGCAGCCCCTCTTCTCAGTGTGGTTAGGTAGCTTGGCCTTTGAGCACACATGACATTTACAGTACTCTTCTCTGTTGCCTGCATCTGTCTTCTGCACCTGGAAAGTGTTCAAGCATTCTGGAAATGGCTCATCTGGGTAAGAGAATAGCCTAGGGCCAGGATGAAGGCAGACTTTGAGCAGGATTGTCTGGAGCTCAGAGGCTACTTCTATGCCATGATTGTCACTGTGCTGGGGACATTCCATTCTCTGGTACCCATGGATGTTGGGAGGAGCCAGGCATTTGGACAAGCAGAGATAGATGTGTTAAGTAGCAGGAGTAATGCCTATCCTTCTTTACTTTTATTCAGAATTAAATAGTAGCTAAAGAATATCCTCCTGGCTCAGTGTGTTACTGGATGTGCACAGCGGGTGTTTTGTCAGTGTTAGGAGTCTGTTCCATGCTGTGCTCTTTGCCTGGGTGGAGGAATAATAGCAGTTCATGTGCTTCAGAGAATGCACAAAGCACTGTGAGCCTCTCTTTCGCTCTCTGTCTCCTTTAGTCCAGTAGTTTATTTACATCACATTTTTCACTGATATATGAAACACCTTGTTATGAAATCAGTATTTGCTTAGAAATAAGGGTATGATGAAACAAAACCTCTGTTTTGGTTTTTTTTCTGTCCACTGGATTTATCACCTAGGACTCATTTCCTAACTTCAAACCAAATACTGAAAACAGGAATGAAAGTTGGACTTTGCCTGTTCATTTTTTTCCCCTGAACAGATTATCAGTGCCAGCTGTGATGAAGAGGAGTCAAGGAGGTTTATGTAAATATGTCTTTCTAGTCTCCTAAAGTCTCTTTTTTGCATTGCTTCAGTGCTAATAATCAGAGAAGTAAATGACACTGGCTAGCTTAATAGGAATATAAGTAAAGACAGGAATTTACAGAACTTCTTCCACTAGAACCAGATGAGTTTTAGGTAATTTTGATGCTGTATTAAAAAGAGAGTGGCAGCAGGAAAGGAGGAGGCAGTGTTGAGGAGAACAGAAATGAGCAAGTAAAGCAAAGTTACAATGTGAAACCAACAAAGGTGGGAAAAAGGAGAAACAATATGGAAACACTGCCAGTGGTGGAACTTACGGAATGCAACTGGAGAACCTGATGTAATGGAAAACTTTCTTTTAATGGATTAGAAGTCTTTAAAACGTATTCTCCCAAAGATAATATCTTCCTGGGGGATTTGTTCTAATTGCTACTTGATCTGAAAAGAATTCTTTGTTGAAGAAGCTTGGCGGGGCGGTGAGCATTATTTGACTAGCTTGGGGGTTTTTTCTACTTCTTATCAGTAACTTCACATGCATTGTCATTTCTTGCTTTCACAAGAAAATTATATTCAAATTATTTTTACATGCGTCTCACCATAGCAAAATGTGCATCTCTCCATGCTGATTCCAGCATGTAATGCTATGGGTTTGGAGAAGAGTGGCTGGAAAGCTGGCAGAAAAGGACCTGGGAATGTTGGTCAGCAGTGGCTGAACATGAGCCAGTGTGTGTGCCCAGGTGGTCAAGAACGTCAATGTCGCCTGGTCTGTATCAGCAGCAGTGTGGCCAACAGGACCAGGGCACTGATTCTCTCTGGGACTCAGCACTGCTGAGGCCACACCTCAAATCCTGTGCTCTGTTCTGGGCCCCTCACTGCAAGGAAGATATTGAGGCGCTGGAGAGTGTACAGAGGACAACAGAGCTGATAAAGCATCTGGAACATCAGTCTGAGGAGTAGCTGAGGGAGCTGGGGCTGTTCAGCCTGGAGAAAAGGAGGAACCTTATCACTGCACAGCTGCCTGAAAGGAGGCTGTACTCAGGTGGGGGTCAGTCTCTTCTGTCAGGCAGCGAAAGACAGGACAAGAGGAAATGGCCTCAAGTTGCATCGGGGGAGGTTTAGGTTGGATATTATGAAAGAAATCTTCACAGAAAAGGTGGTTAGGCACTGGGATAGGCTGCCCAGGGGAGTGGTAGAGTCACCATCCCTGGAAGTGTTCAAAAAACATGTGGATATGGCACTTTAGGACATGGTTTAATGGTGAATATAGTGTTGGTGCAGGGTTAATGGTTGAATTTCATCATCTTAGAGGTCTTTTCTGGCATTAATGATTAAATGATTCCAGTTTAGAAAAACTCTTCTTGAAGTCTTATTGCACCAGAATTAACTTTAACTTTTTAGCTTACTGTGAGAAATTCTGACGAGAAAGCTAGGTTTTTTGACTGTTGTTTTCATTTATTTTAAATAAACTGAGCACCAAAATATTTTTAAAAATAAATGTAAAATTGTCAAACCCAGGTATGGGTGGAATTTTCCCCGTTAGGTGTTACTGAGGGTTTCCTGTCATGGGGTCAAAAGTTCACATCACAAGATGAATATCCTATTCTGAAGACAAAAATTTCATCAGCATGTTGGACATTTTTTCGGTGCATTTGGTGGAGAGAGGCTGGAAACCAGCCACTTAGAAGTCAGCTAGCATTTGGGAGAGGGGAGGAGAAGCTCGGCTGGGGGATGAGACTTCATCCTGTCGAACTTCTGAGTCCCTTGTGCCCTCTGGGAGTGTATTCCAGGGACATTGCAATGGCTGATCAGTGCGTCCTTACAGCAGTTGCTCTTTTTATAGCAGGTTGAAGAATATTTTTAATTAACTCCCTTATATGGCTGGAATAATTTCCTTATTATGAAATGCCTGATCTCTTTTTCATAGTGGAATGCGAATGCCCTTGAAAGTCATTTTAGTTCTGAATTAAATGCATCAACTCATATTAACAGTTCAGAAATAACCAGGTATACTGAGTGGTTATGGAATGTCTTACAGTCAAATAAATTTTTACATAGTTATATTTAAGTACATTGAGCAACCAAATGTAATTTTAATATTGCTCTGTTTCTTGATATTAGCAAAATATGCATTTTTCTGTATATTGGAACTTTTCTGTTAATTATACCATTCTTTGATAGAACGAGATTTTTTTTTAAAAATAGCTTGGATGATTGCAAATAATGTTAGGAATGATCAGATCCAAGCTTAGGACATAATCAAAATATCCATTGAGTGGACATGAAATCTTGCTTCAAGTTATTAATGCTATGTAAACAGTTGACAACAATATTAGACAACGTGACAAAACTTTGGAAGAAATTCCAGCCTTAGATGAAACAGATGATTTCTTTTCCTAGGTTTTGATAGAGAAGAAAATGTGGCAGTCTTAAACTCAACTGGCAGAACTTAGTCTTTTATGTTTAAACCCACCTTGAAGCTTTTGTTTTCCTGTAACTTTGTGTGAGTAAGATATAGCACAAATACTTAGAGATGGTATTTTGAAATTCAGCTTTATTGTAATGTGATTTTTCTAATTTACAACACGGGATTTCCTCTAGTAAACTATGTGGGATACTTTCTATGCAGCTCAATGTTTTCTCAATGAGTTTATTAGCACTGATCTCTTAAAAGTCTAGAATTGGTATGGAATTTTTATGTAGTGGAAATTATTAGCTGTGTTTTTATTAAAAACAGTACTTATAATTTCCAGGGTTTATAAAAGTGGCTATATGAAAATTCTGCATTTGTGTATCCCAAGTGGATGTAATGTAGGAAGTAAAACAGTAAAATGCTGAGAATTAATGGGAAGCTGGAAAGTAACTTCAGAATTGCTTAACTCAAAATTTATTTTCTACCTGATGTATCATAATCAAGTTACTGATTTTAAATTCTGTAGTCCTCCCTAAATTCTGTAATACTTTTTAAACTAGGAAATATTATTAGAGATAATGTTAATTTCATTATTTTTAGATTGTTTCTTTAATCTTAGACGTAAGCCTTTCTGTTTAAAAAAGTCTTTTTGGTCAGTAGTCTGCCTTAAATACATTTCTCTCTAGCTGTTCTCCAGGAAGACCAAATGAGTAAGTTTTGCTAAAATATTTATCACTCTTCAGTGATACGTGGCAGCTGCTTGAGGATAGTTTTTCCTGAAACTATATGGAGTTTTTACTTCTAGTCAAATAATGAACTGTGTGTTCCAGGCAAGTTGAAGTGTTGAAATTGTGCAGTTTCATTGGAGGAGCTGTGAATCACACATTGACAATATATCTTTTATTCTTTTATCTTTTCTTGTGCCTGGCCTTGTTAACAGAATTTGATACTGAAGTTTTTCACGTGTTTGGTGGCTTTATGCAGATGTCACTGAGCTGAGCAGATAAGCTTTCAGTGTTACAGAGCCCTCGCGGGAAGGAGCCGCAGCTATGCCAGTGTGAGAGAGCAAATTTGTGGGAAAGGAGGCAGGAGTGAATTCCTATCCAGGATGAGGCAGTATGTGCCAGTTCCAACTGTTGAGCAAGAAAAAGCCTATGATTATAATTCTGCTTTTGAACCGAGACCGTGTATGTGTTTGGGTAGGTGAAATTGCATTTTCTGATGGCGGGGGCTGTGTCTTACTGCTTTTGTGTAGAATAAATATGTGTAAAAAGAAGTGCCCGTGCAGCTGGTAAATATGTACAGTTTTAACATATACAATGCAGATTATGGAGTGCTTTAGCAGTAGAGAATGTGCATGCTTGAACTTGATAAAAATTGCACTATTAGGGAAGCAAACAATATTTTTTAAACCTTTTACATTAACTATCATGTTTCAGTGTGGAATTCTCTGTAGCTATTGCTTTAATATTTACTTGCATAAAATGATGTAAAGATGTGTGTAAGGGGGAGGCCATTAAAATGCAAATTTTACCTGACACTAAAAAGGAATTTTCATAGGATTTTTCCTCAATAAACCTGTGTAAATTGGAGCAGGTTGTTTTTTTTTTTAACCTGTGTTCTATAGACCTACAAAACAATTTATTTGTGTGAAACAAATATGTTTATTTCCATAAATTTTTATCTGTTTTAAATTGGTATCCAGGAAGTAGGGAATCTGTTTCCAGTTACCCAGCTTCTATCCATCTTTGATAATTAATCTTTTTGGTCTATGTAGTAAAATGTTCCTAAATTTGATGGGTTACTTTTAATGTAGTTTGTTGACTTGATGTTTTGGGGATTTTGTTTTGTTTTCTCTTTTTTTAAAATTTATTTTTATATTCATACATTCTTTAAACCTATTCCTACATTTTTTAATCTTTCATGGTTAAATCAAAATGATATAACTGAGCAATGATTAGTAGTTTTTTCCAGAGAATCTATGTCATGACTTTTAACTCTTCTGATTTTACTTTTGATTGTAATTTCTGTGTTGTTTGGAGTACCTCTCAGTTTTATTTCTGATAGTGTTCTGCTTGGAGGCTGAAAGCTTTGACAGATTAAATCTCACTTTCTGATACTTGAATGCTCTGTTTAATGTAGGAAGTTCTTTTGATGGTATTAGCATAATATTAATTTTAGATTTATACTTTGACAATAAAGAATTTTTGACAAGTTTATGGGTTTTTTTTTCCCCATGTAAACAGTTCCATAATTAAATGCATAGCAATGTAAAGATACTACCAAAATCCAAGATGAGGAGAAAATTTCAAATCTTATGCATACTTACTGTTAGGCCTTTTTTTGTTGTCAAAATTCACTATGTTCCATAAATTTGAAGAGCAGTATTTCAATTGAGCAATATTATATTTCCATTAAGTGAAACCATCTGATAAGGCTGCCAGAATGAGTTGGTACTGTTATCTGATCTTTTTTATCCATCTCAAAGAAGTAACTCTATCCAGATTTTATCTTAAATTTATGTAATTAACACAGGTTTGAAACACTATTTTAAGATTTAAATTGCAGTTCTTTGCAAAGATTTTCTTCTTCTGTCATTTAAAGAAGGAGAAAGTAATTCTAAAAAGTGTTTTTAATTGTCTATCTAGCAGTGGTTTAGAATATTTTCCTGCTCTTATTACATTTTAGATAGTTGTATAAAAATATTTTGCTACAGTTATTGTTAGAATATTTTGTTTTATTTAGTTGTATTCAAACATACTGTTTACCTTGGGCCAAAGTTAATGGTCAACCATAAGGTAGAAAACCAAGTAGGAACAGCAAATACAAAGAGTGCTGAGCCAAACAAACAGTGCTGCAGAGTTGCATAGCTAACTAAAGAAATATTTAGCAGTATTACATGTTTTTTGGTGCATTTTGATAGCCTTACTTGAATTTCCCAATACAGAATAATAAACAAGACACTAATACAGTACTCCTTTCTTATTTTGATTTTATTTACTTTTAAGATGTTGCACAGCACTGGTCTCAATAGAATATTTTTGTAGACCTGTCTAAATTATTTCCATTTTTAGTCAAGTAGGATTTTAACATCTTTTCATACCTACATTTTCCAGTGGCATACTAAAGAACTTTGATTTTATCTACTTCATACCTGCAGCTTTTACATAAGTGTACATTTTTACAGTTATTGGCTCTCCCTGAGTAAGACATCAGGAGTGGTATAAAGAACTTGACAGTAGTCACAAAGTACTATTTAACAAAAAAATTCTCGATATTCCAGTTGTTTATTCCTTGAGTGCTTTTTGTTGTCATAATTATGTATTGAAGTCATAAATCAGTGTTGATGTTAGTGATGATACAGGACTCTAATTCATGAGCTGGGCAGAATTCAAATCCATTGGGGAGAACTTAGTTAATGCAGTTTTAAAATCCTGGATCTGTCTTCGATAATTGTTTTTGATTAAATAAATTGCAAGAACTAAGTTGTCAAAGTATGAACAGAATGTATTTTTTGTCCAAGAGACAATAGTATCAGAAAACAGATGTAATGGAGAATATCTACTCCTGTAGAGTCTTATAATTAAAGCTAAGTACAGCAGATGAAATCTTTGTCCTGAATCTCCTAGATGTTCTGGTAAGTGTGGTTAAAAACCACTAAGGTTACTTAGATATCTTAAGAAATACAAGTCTCGTTGCTTTTGCAGTGCAATTGTAATCATCAAAAGTTTCTGACCAAGATACCCTTCGTTGTTTTGCATTTTTTACTATTTTTAGCAAAGTGTTATAAGATTTTTTTTTGAGTATGTAAATAGATATCTTTAATAAAACATTTGCAAGGTATTTAGCTACTCTGAATCCTTCAGATGTTGAGACTTGAAAGACATGACCTACATGTGTGCTTGATACATTATTATTGAGTGTCTTACTGTTTACTCAGTGGCTCTTGTGCATTAGAGCTGCTTTGGTGTTGGTTGTTCTGAGGCTTGATCAGTAAGTTAATCTGATAATTTGCCCACTAAAACATTTAAAACCTGATTTATCAAAAAATTTTAATAACAAAGGAGTAGGTCTACCCTGATAAACAGTTGGACAGATACCTAGAAACATTTTTTGGTTTTGTTTTGGTTTGGTATTGGTTTTTTTATGTTGAGTTTTAGTCTAACTCCAAAGTTCTTAGTGCTAGAAGAAAGACCAAACAATGCTTTGTGGATTTGTTACCTTTTTAGAGCAGGCAGTATGACTTTGAAAAATAATAATATTGAAGTTACATGCATTGTTCTGAGTATATAGATTAGTAGTAAGTAGAAATGAGATAAAAAAAAATCATTTCTCTGCTTCAAGTGACTGTCATTTCACCAGTGCCCAGTAAAAGGAAGGATAGGGGATAAAGAAGTCAGAGCTTGTTTTGCATATTATGGTTTATATTGGTTTATATGGGTGCTTTTAAAACAGATTGTATTTTGGTTTTCTTTTTTTAGAATAATGCACATAATGCACATTTGGATGTTTTGAAGCAGTCATTCAGAATGAAGATAAAACTGCAAATGAAGTAGTTTTAATTTTAATATGACTCAATTTTAAAATACCTTGACTTTTCTGCATGTTTTTAAGTATGGATGGCAGGTGCATTTCTAGTAACCAAGATCCTTGCATTTTCTCGTGTATTGTAGTGTGATATTACTTTTGCTTATTTGACTTGTACTTACTTTCAATTCCCTTGGTTTTGCTTTATTGCTGATAGCAAGCTGAATTCAGTGTTATCTTCTTCCTCCATGCTTGTCAGCTTGTCCCTTCAAATGAGTCCCTAGAACTGCATCCTAAATCCCGTTGGGTCAATCTCTCTGCAGGAGTTTGCTGCTGCTGTGCTGCGCTGCGACCTCGCTACAAGCGTCTGGTAGACAACATATTTCCTGAAGATCCAAAAGTGAGTCATGACTTTAGAATTTTAAGAGATTGGTGTTTGAAAATCTGTGGTTATAGCTTGTGCTTTAGGTTTTTTTTTTTTAATTTTCTTTTTTCTTTTCTATTTTAACATTTTACCATAAAATCTGATTTAGCACTTAATAGCTTTGAGAGAAGTTAGTGGAATAATTTATTTGGAGAGAGATCCATAGAGATTGTCTCGTCTAATTCCATTTCCAAAGCAGTGCCGCACACTGAAGAATAAAATTAGTATATTTTACTCAGAGAAACAGAGCCTTCATTAAACAAGGTATTCTGCTGCAGAGGTAGCACTTAATTTCATCACTTTTTAGAACCACAAACGCTTTCTTGTGGTTGCAGGTGTGAACATTTTCTGGTTTTCTACAGGATTTTAATTTTTTAACTCTCAGTTTATTGACTGTAAACATTTTTATAGTTCTGGTAGACTGTTATGACCCTAAAAGGTTTTTCTGATTTTTTTTTTTAATTTTTCCAGGTACTCATCTACAATTTTATTTCTTCATTTCACTGTAATATCTTGGAGCTATATTAAAGCCTAACTCTTACTCTGTGAAAATAAATTACTTCTGTGTACCATTGAGGAATGCATGTGTCTACACATAATCATTTGACCGTTCAGACTAATAAAGAGCTGATGTTTCTGCTGCTCTTAATTTTTTAAGTGTCTTACCAAATTTTTATATCTTTTGTTACTTCTGTGTACCATTGAGGAATGCATGTGTCTACACATAATCATTTGAAAGTTCAGGCTGATCAAGAGCTGATGTTTCTGCTGCTCTTATTTTTTTAAGTATGTTACCAAATTTTTATATCTTTTGTTGCAGTAGAAGTAAGCAGCACAGTCAGTATTTGTATAGTATTTGGCTTATATGTTACAAAGTATGTAGTTCTGGGTTTTTTTTAATTGTGTTGTTACTGAGTGCTAGGGATTATGTAAATGCATATTACTGGCTCTAAAGGAAATGTTTTCTGTCTATGCAGTGTATTGAATGCATGGAGCAGTACAGTTTTATAGGTTTATTTGTTCTATTCTAGTTTTTGTTACAGATGTGGAAACACCTGGAAATGCTACAATTGTAGTGTTTTAGTTTAAATCTGACTCAGTAGCTCTGAGTGGGCACTTCTTAGTCTCTGCTTTGGTTAGTATTCATTGGGTCAGTAGAGGACACAGGCCAGTTCATGATGTTTCCCTTGAGTTGCAGACCTATAAAGTATGAGAAGATTTGCTTGATAAAATTCATTAATCAATAATGAGTGTCTTAAAGGCTTCTAAGTAATTTATTTGAAAAATAAATGTTTTTTATGTACTTCCAGGGGAAAAAATAAAGATAAAAAGACAAAAAGCCTTATCCTGCTTACCTGATAATTATGATTATGACTTCATCTGAGCAGATCCCTGATACAGTTTGTGTTGGAACTAATATGTTAATCTTTGATCTTATTCTGACAATTATCCCTCAAATGCCCTCAATTATGCCCTCAAATGGTCAGCCTTGTTCAAGATCTGACACTGAAGAAATAAAATATTTAAACTACAATATTAAATATTTAAACTACAGTCTTGTTTTCTATTTTATCAAAATTATGCATTGAATATACTTGGTGAGGGTATGGGAAAAGAAAAAAATTACCTTGTGCTATTAGGAAAGAAGTGTGTCTTAGAACTGGTTACATACCTCACTACATACGTTCTCTTAGAATACCCATTCCCTCACAAAAAAAAAATGGTGGGGCGAGCTAGTTGCTTCATTTCCTTTAACAATATTTTGTTTTATGTTGCTGATATTTGCAGCTAAGGTTATGGCAGTTTTGCTCAATAGTTCGGGCTTTTTTTCAGTAGTTTATTTCTGTCTGTAAGGCTCTGATCTTTAAAGGTTAACTAGGAAAAAAGGAAAAACGCTTGGAAAGCTTTATATTTCCTACAAACTCTTTAATTTTCTATTTTGTATTTCTGTTTCTAGGATGGTCTTGTTAAAGCTGACATGGAGAAACTGACTTTCTATGCAGTTTCTGCACCAGAGAAGCTGGATCGAATTGGGGCTTACCTGGCAGAGAGATTGACCAGGGATGTGGTCAGACATCGCTATGGGTAAGGAGAGAAGTCATTAAAAATAGATGCTAGCAAGTCATGGAATTTCATCGTGTGTGTTCTGATCGAGTCTGGAAAGCAAGACAGACCCAGTCCCTTTGTGGACAGTTAACCTTGTCTGGCTGCCAGGAGCCCATCCAGCTGCTCTCACTCCTCCTGCTCAGCCAGATGGAGAAGGAAATAAAATGGAAAGCTCGTGGGTTGAGATAAGGACAGGGAGATTACTCAGTTCCATCATGGGGGAAATGAGACTTAACTTGGGGAGGATTGATTTAATTATTGCCAATTAATGACAGAGTAGGATAGTGAGAAATTAAAGCAGAGCTTAAAAACATTTTTCCTCCAGCTATCTTTCTTCCCACGCTCAACTTCACTCCCAAGTCCATTACCTCCACCCCCACCAAGCAGTGCAGATTAGGACTGGGGACAGTGGTCAGCTTGTACCATCTTGTGTCTCCTGCTCCTTCTTTCTCACACTCTTACCCTGCTCCGGCCTTGTGTCTGTCCTTGTAGACAGTCCTTCAAGAACTGCTCTAGCATGGCTTCTTTCCTCAAGGTGCAGTCCTTCAGGAACAGGCTGCTCCAGCATGGGTCCCCCTGGGATCAGAGATCCTGCCAGAAAAGCTCCTGCATGGGCTGCTGTCCATGGAGCCTGCCAGAAACCTCTTCCAGCAGAACCTTTCTGCAGCAGTGGGCAGCAGTTTCCTCCAAAGCACATCCACCTGCTGCAGCAGGGGGTCCTCTATGGTCTGCACTGTGGGTATTTGCTTACCTGTGGGCACTTCCAGTGTCCTTGAGGGCTCAGGTTTGTGAAATGGTGAATTGGTCTTGGAGCTGGCTGTATCTGTCATCGGGGCAGCTCCTGGTTTCTGACAGAAACCACCCCCACAGCCCCTTGCTGACAAAATCTGGTGTATATAAGCCCAATACACCCTTGAATGTCAGTCAGGATATAAGCAAACAAGATTATCTTTATTTTCAGCCCTTTTGGCTAAATCAAATATTTAAGTGAGAAATATTAAGTCTAAAAAGTGGCAGGAAAGCAATATCCATCACAGACCTACATTTTTTAGTCTTCATGACATCCAAAGATGTTTTTATAACTTTATAGAAAGAGTAAATAGCCAACACTCAGTTCTTTACTTCCTCCCTCCTACACCACCCTGTCTTCCCCCAAAAGAGAAAAAATGAGAGAAAATATGGATGTTGAAAATAGCCCTAAATGTTATACAAAGGGAAATATGCACCTTCCATTCTTTCTTTTCTATTTTTTTGTGGTAAGATCCTAAATTGAACTAACTGAGTTAATGATTAATGCAATACATCTTTATATGAGTCTCTCTGATTAATTTTCAGTTATGTTTTAATTGCCATGGAGGCACTGGACCAACTTCTAATGGCTTGCCATTCTCAAAGCATAAAACCATTTGTGGAGAGTTTCCTTCATATGGTGGCCAAGCTTCTGGAATCAGGCGAACCAAAGCTGCAAGTCCTTGGGACTAATTCTGTGAGTAAGCTCAGATGCTAAATCAAATCAGAGTAAATCTTTGCTTGGGAAGATAGTTTTAGAAGTCTTAAAGGATCTGCCAGTTGATATGAATTAAAAGATGCTCTCTGTAGCAGGGTGTATCCTTTGGGTCTAAACACAGAGCAGATACCAGCTGGAGGCAGATAAACTGTTTCCCTTCAGTGTCCCAAATTCTTTTGATGTCTGGGCTCATTCCCTCCAAAAATAACTTCTGGAAGGAACAGGAAAGCTGTGCTGTGAGTTCATATTTTGAGTCTTTAAGCAGCATTCCTGGAGCCAATATGTAGGTAAGACAGTGTTTTGTTTTCTGCCAGCTTAAGCTACACAGAAAGATTCTTGTTAGCTGAAAAGTAGCTTTGAGTAACCTCACCATTTTACCAGCTTAAATATTTCAGGATTCAGAACCAGGCTTGAAGGGCGTAACTGAAAGTGTCAAAATGAAGATTTAGAGATCTAGTTTTCCAATCAGAGTGATGAGTACAATCAAGGGTATAGTTCTGTCATACTTGCCTTCCAACCACTATATTTTCCAGCTGGTAAAATTGAAATCTCATAAATTCCAGGACTTTGATGTGGACTGTTTTCACTTAGAGTAATTGCTTTTACCTGAGTATAGAGTACTTGCTTTTCAGGTAAATTATTGCCATTCTTAACAATGGAGGGTTTCTTTGTGGAATCAGTAAAGCTGTTGGGCTTTTGGGTTTGGTTCCTGGTTGATGAAATTTAAAGGAGTTGAAGTTCAGGAGAACAGGAGGGTGTAGTGAAGTGATCTTACCCCAGAGCAGGATTTCTTGTTATGATGGAATGAACAGAGTTTTGCTGTAATGTAGAGTAGAAGTGTCCCCTTGTTCCCCCACTAGCAGGGCAGCTTTACTGAGGATAATGAGACCTATATCTCATTATACATATAAAATTTTTCTTATTCATTTAAATATCATTGAGCCAGGCTACCCTGTTTCTTTTGATTTGTTCATATTATAATGCCTGGGCAAGTCCTCTTAGGGACATGATTCTTATGACTTAGTGACATGTTTCCTGGGTTGCCAAATGGCAAGGTGTGCATCACTTTACAGTTATTTAAAATCACTGGTTACTGCCAACCTCCACTCTGATGTAGAAGACTTGTGTCACTTCAAAATGCATATTTCTGAACAGGACTCCACCTTAAGGTAATCTGTTTGATACTCCTGTTGGTTCCTAAGTCTTCTGTGAGTAAAGGAAATTAATGGACTTCCTGAATTAGGAGATACTTTGTGTTTGTCTTCTATAAAACTCAAGGAAAAAAAAAAGTTTCCCTGAATAAGAGGAGAAACTCTGTGAGGAGAACGAATTTTTATGGCTCTTCAACAGTATTCCAAAACCGTATTTTAGCCTAACTCTGCTAATTTCCCTAGGTGCCTGCCAGAGTTAATGAAGACAAAGGATACGAGTCTGTTTGTATTGACTTAGAAGGAACAAAGAGTAACAGCTTGTCTGTTACCAAGGGCACTGCCTTACTGTGTTCTTAAATGAGTTTTGTTAGATTAATGAAGAAAGTTTACTACCATATTCACCCTTTTTTCTCTCCTCCAGAAGGAAATACATAAACAAAAAAACCCCAAAACAAAACAAACAAACAAACAAACAGAGGAGATGGTGTGGTGACTGAATAATGCTTCATGTGCTTTGGCTGATGTACCACTTTGGAGTGCAAACTGGTCTTGTCTGGAAGAGAAGAATGGGTTGTATATGAAGTAACTATCTTTAACTGGTGAAAAGTCAGGCAACCTTTGGAACATTTTACATGGTATTTTTAGGAAACTCAGTTTAAGGCTCCTAAAATATATGGAGTATGATTGTAGCTCTAAGTAGATTTTGATTATTTTCTACTCAAAGCTTCATTGAGATAGAAAAGCAGTGATGTCTTTGAAGTAAAATTCAAACCTCTTTACTTGAGCTGTAGGGTTTTTTCAGCCTCACAGATTTTGCTTCAACTGTGAGGCTCTTGTGGTTGGTTAAAAGGGTTTCAAATGAAGCAAATCTCTGTACAGAACATCTTTGAGTAGTTTAAAGGCTTGGAAAGATTTGGAAGCTCCCACTGTCTTCTGAATGTGTTTTGCTGACTTTCAGGTATTTGGTTTTGGATGCAGAACTTAATCTACTTGGTGCCCTATATTTTAAGAAAAAATATGGAACTTTTACTTAGATATTTATCATCTTAAATTAATTTGGGAATTTAAATTTCATTTAATTTATAATAAAAAGTCTTTTTTTTTTTAAATCAAGCCTGACAATTACTATTTTAGATAAATAATTGTTTGGGTTTTATTTATGTACTTTTAAGCCTAATCTTCAGGTTATATTTAATTAATTACTGAGATTTTTTTTTATATGTTGCATTTATAAATTATGTTTATTTATTTCCTACAATAGCATTGTTTTGTTTGGTTTTGTTGTTTTTTTTTTAATAACATAGTTTTAAATCTACTTATATAAGACAGATACTTAAAAATGGTAAAATTCAATAGTGGATATAATGAATAGGTGTTGGTATTTTTTTTATGTAGGCCAAATTTCAAATTGATAATGTCTGTGCAGTTCAAAATGGCTTTTTCTAGCATGGAAGATATTTTTATAGACCATGTGCTAGGACAGCATATGCTGGTGAGGAAACTGAAAAAATGTGGTGGGAAAAAGTGATATCTCTTTGGCTTATGTGTTAGAGAATCTGAAGGCTGATTGCAATAAGCTTTTCCTTAGAAATTTATAACAATATTTTATTTCTCTCTCTAATTTTCTTGCAGAATTTCAGTAACTGAATATCATGTAAAGTATCTCCACTGTTCATGTACAAAGAAGTAAATATATTGATTGGGTCCATAGTGTTTATTACTGGGATAGAAGTGACAAGCATTAAAATCTTTGACCTTGTAGTCAAATTTTTTTGGAATGAGAGATCCTATTTATGTCTATTAATCTATATCAAATTTATGTCTATTTCTACAGTTTTTGAAAAAGGTTCAGAAAATGTCTTTAGTGGGCAGCTGGTCAAGAACAATTGGATACATACTTTAGTAAAACTTTCATCTTAATCCATATTTACAAGACTCAGTTAAATACAAAACATTTTAAGCTAATTTAGAATGCTGATGGGGTAAATTCTTTGTATTTTATCAGTAAGATATTGGGGCTTCATGTGAAAAATAGCAGATAATACATGGAACACGGTATCACCACATTTTAATTCTGTACCATAAATGCTTTTTTAGTTGATAGGGTGCTTCCTTTTATAAAGGCAGTTTCTTTGTAGGAGCAATGAAATAATGATCCCATCAGTGACAATGTTGAGCTTCCTGTGCATGAGGAGGTGGCTGTTATTGCTGGTTGTCATCATTTGTTATTTAAAGGAAGATAAGCAGACTCCTGAGTGGAAAAGTGGTCAACCAGTGCCTGAGACAAGACTTTCATATTTGTTAATGTTGGCTAATAAAAGCAGTTGGTTTGGTCAGAATTAAGTTTATATGTATGTAAAAGTAGTACAAAATGTCAACACTTTGAAATTAAGCTATGTCAGAATTAATATTCCCAGCAGAGTACTTCCCTGTTTGCCTTGTCTGCAGTTTGCTAATCTGGAAGTAAGCAATGGAAACTTACCCTTATTGCAAGATGCTTCTTTCATTCCATGTACCAATACAGAATTATGTGCTGGTAGTGATTTAATACACAGTGAAACAGTTCCATCTCTAGGATGCCTCTTTTGTCTTTTTAATAGGACTTAACTCTCAGGGAGACAGATTAACACAGCACTCTTTTTTATCCTTTGGATTATTAAATTATTTTAGAAGTTGTATGTCTGCATCTGCTAGAATTTGAGTAAGTCCTTCAGGGTCAAAGTTAAGTTTTGCTTCCCCCACTTGTACTTTTGCTCTCTAGTTTTGCAGTTCCATGGATACACTGCTGGCCCTGTAAGCCAACATTCCATTGCTGATTTTGTTACACAATTGTACATGTGGTGGTCAGGAGAATTTTTATCCAACAGGCACAAAAGAAAATTGAATGTGAAATTATCCATCCTATTCCAATAAAACTGAAAGCGTCTGGTGACCCTAAGTATTATAAATAAATTAAATCACCAATTTTCATTGCTGAGAACCTTGTGATCATTTTCATACTGGATTTGTTAAGTTAATGTATCCAGTGTGAAGTTAATGTATCCAGTGTTTGAAGCTTTTCTCGTTTGGAAATTTGAAGTGCTTGTCCTTCTGGCATTTGTTTGTTAAGTGCATGCATAACATTCACACTTCTCATCAAGGCTGTACTGTGTGGTTTGTAAGAGTCTTATGTTTATAGGAGATCATGACTTCCCATGTGACAGTTTCATAATAATGAAATACAGTACCTTGGCCTATAAAAGGTGGCAACTGCCAGTATCAGCACCCTCTTTCCCTGTTCGAAACGAGAAAATTGCAGGCTGCAGAAGGCAGATTGGGGAGCTCAGATATGAGAAAAATAGTGCTCAGGTTGAGCCTAGTGTTCTTACAGGGAGATACTTAAAGTAAAAAAAATCTAAAATATGATGCATAGTGATTATTATTGAATAAAACTGACCTTCTTTAAAGACATCCAGGGACCATTAAAAGTTACAATTTTTCTCCTAATGTACTTGCTACATAACAATGATAAAATAGCATAAATGCATAGAAGAAATTCTGTCCTTAAGAACTTGTATAATTTACTTACAGGGCTTGCACAATTTCTCTCTCCCTGGTAATATGATCCAAATTTCTCTACTCAGTCTGGAATAAACATCTTCTTAATAAATAATATGTTTCTTCTTGACTTTGTGGTAGATTTATATGCTTTTATACTGATTGAATTATATTGATTTCAAAATAAATGGAAATAAGGTATTACGAATGTAAGTTCCTTTCTGTACCTTCTGTCTCATAAAATACAGAAGATGCTTGTACTAGTAAAACTTCCATAAGTTACCACTGTATGCTTGCAAGCATTTACTGTGACTGAATAACATGTTTACATCTATAAAAGCTTTGTAAATAATTCCTAGGCAAGTGCTTGGACTTTCATAAGAGTTTTGTCCATTTTTAGGTTGAATAATTGTTACATTAGAAGTTTGTTTGAATTTATGTGCTTAGGAGTAAAATATTATTTAACAACAATTGCAAGACCACCGCTGTATAGACTGATGTCTACTATAAAAACTTAAAATTTCTACGATGGGATGGAATTTTACACTTAACTGAATGACAGTGCACAGCTCAAAACTGTTGCCACAGACAGCTTTCCTGTGGCCTAAATGCTCAGTCATCTGAATGCTAATCCTGGATTGTGCTTCAGAAATGCTGTATGTTCAGTGAGTGAAATTGTTTGGCTATACACATGAGGACATAAAAAAACTTTACCCTTTCTGGATCTCTTACTGTGCAGGCTGTTTTGAAAGGTGTGACTTTCATGTGTTTGTGTCCCTGCTGCAAAGCTGCACCCTGACACAGGAGAATAACTCAGAACGAGGGAGTCCCTGACACTTGCTTGGCTTAAATTTATCATTTGTTCATACAAAGCAGTTTCTTGGTACAATAAATCTTTCTGCTAGCAAAACAGTTATTGGAGTGTATTAAGCTTTCCTGTTGTGAGATCCTGTCAATCAAATAATTAGTGCTTCAGATAATAATAATATTAAAGGCTGATAAAAAATGCAATGTGAATTAATATTCTCATTCTCACAGCCAATCCCACAGTCCTTAGTGTTCTTCAGACTTTTTGTTTCCATTCTTTTCTGTGCTTTTATGGAAGTTTTCTGGGTGAATGATTTGTAGACTTGAGCACTTGAATGTTTGGAAAATACTAAGATAATATTGTTTGGAGGTTTATTAAATCCTTGGTCTTCGTGCCTTATTAAGATATAAGGACTAATGAAATTCTTGTCTGCAAAATTAAAGAAAAATCTATTTCTATTTTTCTAGTAACAATTCCATTAAACAAACTAGGGAGCTATAGAAGCTTTTTCTAGGGACTCTTGAGAAGGAAATGAACATTTTTATAGCTCACTCTATTGGAGAAAACATATGGGAGCTGTTTGTAGATCGTCTTTCAGTCTGTGGCAGTGGACCATACAGAATTAGATTTTGACTTCTGTCACTTTTTTACCACCTGAAATACAGAATATTCCTAACAGAAGGACTTGTAAAATAGGCTTGTACTATAGAATTTTGCTCCATTTTCAGTAACAGCTGAGAATGTAGTTTTATGAACTGTATCATTTTCTGCTGTTCCTGTAGCTTTTAGAGGGTAACTGGTAGTGCAGCTGAAAGGGATAAATGTTCTAGATAAAACAGAAAAAAAGACTAAACAAAAGAGTAGAAAAAAATACACAGCTTTCGCTTCCAGCTTTAAAACCTCAAACCCTCCACAAATCATTGTGCTGCAGATTATGCTAAAGTGCTTTGGGCTTGTCTGGATGTCTGTGGGTAATGTGCTGATGAAAGCAGGTTTTGCATCATGAAAAAATACAAAGGAAATGCCTCAGCCTGTGCTTAGGAATTGATAAAAATGGTGTGAGTAAAAGCAGAGGAGTCTTAATCGGCCATCACTCTGCTTCAGGGCAGAACCAGCAGAGTGTTCAACCTTGCCCGAAAATGTTTTGATTTGCTTTTTATTTCCTTCTGTAGTCTGTTCTTAGAACTGTCAGTGATGGAGATTCTAAAGTCTTTAGGCAGTCTGCTCACTTTAGAAAGGGGGGGTTTAATGTCTAACTTAGATTTTGCTTCAATATAAGGCTATTATTGCTTTCCTGTTACCATTGGACAAAGAAAACAATTAATTCTCTTTTTATAGCTGTTTTCTGTACCTTTTAAGACTGATACTTTTTAGGCAGCTGTAGTCTGGGTAATTTAGTGTATTTCATTCTTCTTTTACAGATGTTTATCTAAAACTTTGTCCATTTCTTGAATAATTTGAGAACTGTATCAGTTATTCACCATTTTAGGCTGTGATGTTTCAGCTGGATGCACCACTTCATTTAAGGGCTTATTTGGCCTAATTAGATGGCAAAAGTTTGTTCATGGGTGTCACAAGTAAAGCAGATGTATCTCAACATATTGTTCTGTTTCCCATGCCATTATATTGGCATTGACTAAGTTCCTTTTCTTCATTCAGCTGTTTCTGGCTTAAAATGCTGTTTTGCAATAACCATTCCCAAATTGCTTCCTTGGTTTTTCAGGTCCTATTTCCAATTGCTCAGAAAACAGGCATCAAGTGTGCCTACAGGTCTGGCCAGCCTAATGTTCTTTGCAAATTTGATGAGCCCAGTCTGCTCATCTAAGTCTCTAGTGAAGTTCAAATCATATTTTGTACTGTGATGATTTAAAAGTATTTCCTTATTTTTTCCAAACTCTTGTACATCTCTCTTTTGGGGAGTATTCTTTTGACAGTGTTTTTCTAGCTTCACTTTGAGAATTTTGTGCATTTTTTTGTCAACAGCATCACTGAAGTTTTGACAGATGCTGCTTCATCTGGATTCACAAGTTATTTACTTGTCATAAGAATAAAGATGGATTGATGTGATTTGTTCTTGACAAATCCAGGTTACTTACCCCTTTGAGACTTTGTAGATGTTGGCAAATTGGCATTTTTTTCCCAGTGTTTTTCTGTGAATGGACTAGAGTTGCCTAGATTATAATTCCCTGGCTCCTTTTTCCCTTCTGTCAAGATAGAATTGACAGAATGCCTCCAAGTTTATTTCCCCTGAATTTTGGTACATCAGAATGTTGCTAGGTAACCTGGTAGTGTTTGATTGCTTGGGCTGCTCTCTACAGCTGCCTGAGAGAGGGTGTAGCAGGGTGGGTGTCAGGCTCTCCTCCCACGTTGAAAGAGATGGGATGAGAGGAAACGACCTCAAGTTGTGTCAAGGGTGGTTTACACTGGATATCAGGGAAAATTTCTTCTCTGAAGGAGTTATCAGCATTGGAACAGGCTGCTTGGGGAAATGGCTGAGTCACCATCCCTGTAGTTATGTAAAATGAGGTTTAGTGATGGACTTGACAGTGTAAGGGAAATGGTTGGACCTGATAATCCTAAGGGTCTGTCCCAACCTAAATGATTCTTCCAACTGATGATGCTAACTGTTCAAGTGTTAGATGTTTCCATATTGCATACTATGTTGTATTTCATAGAGTTTCACCCTTCCAGAGCTATCTAAAGGAAGTTCTTGTGGAAAGACATTAAAAAGAAAACTGTCTTATTCAGATTTTTCTTCTCTGAAGTTCTAAAATATTGTCAAAATTGGGTTCTTACCTTAATGCAGTTACTTAATGTTAGTTGTTAAATGAAGCTTATTACACATTATTCCATTTTAGGAAATTGGTATTAAAAGCTTTTTTTATTGTATTTTAATTTCCAGTTTGTCAAATTTGCCAACATTGAAGAGGACACTCCTTCCTATCACAGACGCTACGACTTCTTTGTGTCCCGGTTCAGTGCCATGTGTCATTCCTGTGACCCTGATCCAGAAATACAAAATGAGTAAGTGTCATTCTGCAGGAATTTCTGAAAGCTGTTGACACATTAATATTGTCTGTAATACAGCTTTTATTAAGGTGTTTAGTGGAGTAGTTAATTCCACATGAAGAAAATGGCAGTCTGACTTTGAGTAGCACCAAATATTGCAAATCTCAGGTAGCTAGAACTCCTAGGATATTAAGGCATAATATAACCTTAATAATGCATGTTAGACTATATGGATTCTCTCCAGAAAGGCACCACTTACTAATGTAAATGCATGAATTCATAACTTACATGAAAAGTAAAACGATACCTTAAGTCTGCTCTATGAGAATTACTCATTAAAACTGTGTTTTCTTACATGTCTGAAGTGTGCTTATGTGTGTGAAACTCAAGAGCCTCCGTGAATGGGAATTGTGTTTTTTCCCATTCTTACATAAGTGCTGCAGTTTGTTTCTTGTGGCTCCCCCCTGGAGGCTGTGTCCTTCCCAGAAGCAGCTTTTCTAGATGTTTGTACATTCCTCTCTTTCCTGCTTTGTGTGTAGTCTTATTGAAACTATCTCAAAAGATCTAGAATGAAATTGGATTCATCTTGAATGCACAAGACTTTGTTCAGAAATAGCTAAAATATGAGCAGCTACAGATTTAGGTGTTTACAAATTGAAATCTAAACAAAAATAATTATAGAACTACCTCTGTAGTTCATCTTAGAAATATTTTAATTCAGCGAATTTGACTGATCAAGGGCTAGTTAAGTGTTGTCCATGCTTGAATCCAGATTTTTAAAATACGGGATGGATTTTGATAGAAATAATTAAAAATTTTAGTGAGGCTTGTATTTATTTCATTTGGTAGTTGTATCAACTTGTTTTCAGGAAGTAAATTCTCTTCCTACCATTTATTATAATGGGAAATTTGTTATTATCACTTCAAAAATAACGTTTTGCTATTCATGTAACTGCACAGATTCTCCTTCCAGCTATTTTTGTTTTATGAAATAATGACAATAGTTAGACCAAGTCTTTTTTTGAACTTTTGTTATTTTTTCTTTTTATTATTTCATTGTTGTTGATTAGTTCTCAGTTGATTTCAGTCAAATGGTTTTAGAATGAAAGTGGTAGATCCTTTTGTCTACTAGGCTTAAGTTGACAGAATTATCCCTTGCTTTCCATCTATTGAATTTTTCAGAAATATTTGAAGATCTTTTCTGACTAATTCATAGCCTTAATTACAACTTCTAATGACACGATCACATGGCTGTGCTAGACACTACTTCAGCTGTGTTGTGGTAAATTCCCATTTTTCTTCAGATGTGGAATAGGCTGAGATTGTGCAGTTTCAGCTGATGGCTAGTAAACTGGGTAGAGTTGGTGGGTTTTATCCATGGGACATTTGTCAGAGGTGATGTACAGAGTTTGAATCTTCTTTGAGTAGTGTCAGCTTTACCCTTGCAGGCCATCTTCTGTTCAGTTGTTTGTTTTGTCAGCTTCCTTACTGGCTTTAAAGGTGTGCAGAGAAAACATTGGCAACCTTAACGATTGGCCAGTTTTCCCAGTTGCTGCTTGTGAAAACCTACTGGAATTCCACACTCCTTAATTTCTGCTGCCCAGTAGGTATGGAGCCCTACTGGGGGGTGCTGTGTTTCTCAGCTTCAGTAATTCCTCTTTTCCTTCCTCAGGATCCGAATTGCTGGAATCAGGGGCATTCAGGGCGTGGTTCGAAAAACAGTAAATGATGAGCTGCGAGCAACTATCTGGGAACCTCAGCACATGGACAAGATAGTGCCATCACTGCTGTTCAACATGCAGAAAATAGAAGATATTGACAGGTAATTGTATTCCTTGTCACTGGCATGTTATTTTAGGCAATCTCTAGGCTAAATTTTTATGATGGATATCCTTTTCTTTGTAGTGGAAGCAACAACTCACCTCTACTACCTGAGGCTCCTTGAAATTTCTACTCTAGGTCTGCATAATGGTGCTTAATATTTCTTGTCTTAAAATTTTTTTAACCACTTTTTTCACTTGTTCAAGGTTCTGTTGGCCTAAAAGTTATTCTAGAAATTATATATCCATATTTTGACTTGATAAAAATTGTAAACTCTGTGTTTTATTGGATCAGATGCAGAGATGAGTAAGCAAAGGCTTTTAGGTAACTCAAATGATTTTGCTGCTTAGATTGTTAAAAATTGAGGGTTTAATTCCTTTAGTCATTAGGCAGTGCTTGTCCTGGCTGAAACAGTACTTGGAGTAAGGAATTCAAGTTTTATTTATATGTAGATCCCCTTCTCTTTTTTGCTTTGAGTGACTCCTAGGCATATTACTTGCCACGTTTGCAAAAAGATATTCAAGAAGATCTCTATGATAATTAAAGTTGAGGAGATGCCAGTCACCTTACAATTTAAAAGAGTCACTGTTTTTTTGTTTTTTGGTGGGTTTTTTTGGGTTTGGTTTTTGTTTGTTTTTTGTTTTTTGGGTTTTTTTTGGCTCTGATTAAACACTGTGTAGGTGTAAAAACTGTTTATTGGTAGCACTGGGAAATTTCCATAAAACCAACTTCAGTAGTGCAAGCAAATTAAATATTCATTCCATGTCCAATTCTGGCTGCTTCAAAACTTGCCTGCTAAGAGGCTCAGCAGCCTTCCTATAACAACAAGCTTTTCATGCTTTCACTTAGCTTTCTAGATCTGTCAGTTTCTCTTTTTTTGGTTTGAATTTTGACATTTATTTTTCAATTCCTCAGCTTTTTTTTTTTTTTATTATTATTTTGCCAGTACCTGTCTCATCTCTAAAACAAATTTTCAGACTAAATAACTAAAATCAATAGTTATCTGTCTGTCCATGCCTTATCTATTTACTGCATATAATTGAGGGCCCACACAATATCTACAGAAATATCCACTTGAGTTTTACATCTGAAGAGTGATCTGAGTAAGAGAGAAAGGTTTCTGAAGCTGCTGTTTGAGCAAGGAGAGTCTGCTTTGCCTTTGCTTACTCTGACAGGGTTTCTAGCTGCAGGTGGCCCCTTTCCTTTGGTGCTCTTTACAGTGCCCTCGGGCACACACTTGCCTTTTACAGCAGAAGTAAATTAACTGCTGATGGAAAAACTGACTGAAGCAGGATTTGGGTTAACCACTTAAAGTGGATCAGTGTATGTGTACTGCAGGGGTGATTTTTATCATCTATGGAGAAAGGCAATAATAGGGGTAGAAAAACAAATCTGTCAAAAAGCAACTTACATTTCTGAATCGTTGTGCTTGAAACATCCTATAATGCACATTGAACATGAAAAAAAAGACTAATGATTTTCCAAGTGGTGAGCAGGAGCCTTTTATGATATGCATATGACAGAAAAGCTGAAAATAGCATTCATAAATTGTTACCTGCTGGTCTTAAATGATGTTACAGACAATTTCTCATTTTGTTTTATGTGTGACTTCATATTGTGGAGCACAGAGACATCTTGAAGAGTAGGAGTAAGAAGCATATTGTTCTGGCAGATGGAGTTAAAGCATTATTTGAGAAAGAGCAGAAATTCCAGAAAATACCCTCAACTTAAATACATAGAAGAAAAATCATTTTTGGTTAAAGCTGAAGTACTTGTAGGTACTTACCTTGAAAGTCAATGTAATTTTAACTCGTGGAACTTTACAGCTTAATTCAAGATTATTTTGAGTGCATACCAGATGAGACACTTCTTGGAGTTAAGAATTTACTGTTTAAATAACATTTTAAAAATATAATTGTATTTGTGAATGTCGTTTGTTTGTATATCAGAGTGCACATTCTAGTTAGGTGCCTATTGGATATTATGTTTATATATATATATATATATATGTATATATATATTTATATCCATTTCCAAAATAGGGAAGGGATGTATGAAATTGGTAATTCCTTTACTTGTGACATATTCTTCATAACTGTGGAGCTAAACCTGCCAGCCTTATTTCAGGCAGAGGGACACTCTAGCACTTAATGTAAACTTGACTTCAAATCCTTCTGATACATCTGTAATGTTCATACAAATTCTGTTTTAGAGGAAGTTAGAATTTATTTCTTTCTCAGGATTAATGAATCATAGTCAAACATTCCTGTACCTACTCTGCTCAAAAGTGGTGGTTAAATCATACTTCACATGTCTTGTCATATCTTTACCCAATCCTGGTTTTGTTGCATTTAAGAAGTCTCATGCTTAAGTTGCTGAGTTGCTGTGAGCTAGTTTAAGTCTGTGATCAGGTGTTTGCTATGGAAACTGCTGTACTTCAGCACATCCTCCCTCTGGTTCCTTGTTGCCACTTCTGATAGAGATTGCCCATAAAAAAGCCAGTAGAGGAGCTAAAGGGAGTTGTCCTTGCCCATTTCATTATAAAGCATATTTTCAGCCCTCTTGTAGAACAAAAAGTCTAGATGCACAGGAATTCTACTGGATCTTTTTTTTTTTTTTTTAGCTGTTGTCGTTGGATTTCTCAGAGGTTTTCTGATATTTCTGTAAAAACCAAATCAGTGAAACAAAATGAGTATGGGTTACTCATTTGAATCTAGAAACTCAAGAGGCTGTACAAAGCTTTCCTATAAAACTAAAGAGAGTATTCCATATTAGTTGTCTGACTATGCTAAGGAATACTTACTGAGAAATACTTTGAAGTAGATGCTGTTAAAGTTCAAATAAAATGTTACTCCTACAAACAACACAAGATAATTTTAGGCATCCCGATGCAAAGAGTAACATTTAGTACTAGGAAGATTCACCTAAAAAAAGACTCCCAAACAGTGCTGAGAAGTCACCTTCTGTAGGTTTGCATAGACAGGCACTTAAAGCATAGCTTATTTTACTTTATTTTAACTGGAATTCTTTCAGACAGGCTTAGCTCTAAATGCTCTGCAACCTACTTTCTTCTTTTCTCCCCACACACCCACCTTCACAATGCTGTTGTATTTTAGGGAATCTGTGTCTAAACAGCAATGGAAATGACAGTCCTACACTATCTCTCATCACTTCTCTGTGCTGAGAAGGGTGCTCATCTTCCTAGATCAGAGTCCACCAGTACAGGGGAAAGAGAAAAAGGGAGGCTGGGTGGCACAGCAGTTGGATAAAGCTGGAGTTTCATGATACTCGTGGTGGATTATATACAAATTGTCATACCTTTTAAAATTCTAATCATGTTGCACTTGTTAAACTGTTTCTCCTTATCTAACAGGGTTCCTGAGGCTCTTCTGTTATTAAAATCTTACAAGCTAGCACTGTTGTGGTAACTCCTGAAACACTGATATTTCCAGAGGCAACAGGATTTTCATATGGAAATTTTAGATGTCAATAGTATTGAAACACTGGAAAATCCTTTGCCATCAAAAGATATTTTACATTAATATTTTATATTACAACTATGATGTTAACATGTTCATTTGACTATTTCAATTTTCAACTTTCTATAATGTTCTAAAGCTTTTATGATGCTTAACTAAACTGAATGCTCTTGGTTGAGACTTTCAAATGTATTTAACACACAAGCTTGCACTGCAGAACTGAAATTATGTTTAAGGGTTTAGGTTAGTGGTCTAAAATTAAAGATGGATAATGTTATTGTAATGAATCCTCACTTAAGTTCCTAAAATGTCTTTTGTGAGAGGAGAAAAAAGGTTGCCACTTGTAGGTCCAGTGACTTTTGGTAAGCAGTGGAGGTACCCTGGGGGGATCTCTTTGCTTTCTTTCTGAAACCTGTGTTCACCACAGTGCCCACAGTGAGGGGCTCAGCAGTGCCCTGTCCAAGCAATCATGGAAGGCACTTAGGTAGAAGGTGACCAACTTCTACACTGTCTATTTAGAGGTAACTGTGTGGGTGATAATGTTCTAATTAGTTCACTCAGACATTTTTTTTCAACTCACAAGCCATCTGTTTGTGCAGAAGTATTGGAGTTTTATTTAATGCTCACCCACACAGTATGGACTCAGTAATGGGCAGGTGAATGAGATCATTAATCTGAACAATATTACTAAGATTCTGTCGAAATTTTTTTAGTGGTTTCACAGCCTTCATTCCTTTTTAACAACTCACAGTATTTTGTCAAAATGTGGTAGATTACAAGTTAACTGAATATTAGCAGCTTTTGTGTTTGCCATATAAATATTTACTAATACACTGGTCAGTACTGAGTGAATGGATGATGATCTGTGGTCCTACTATAAGAGAATAAAATATTTTATTCAGAATTCAGATTTTATGCATATTAGAACTGCAGTTCTTGCCTAGTTGAAGAGAGTGACTCATGAGAGTTTTAATACCAAGGGTACAATACAGTAAAGAAAAGGTGAACAATAATCAGTAATATAATCAATGCATTTTGTCTTATTTCAGCAGAATAGGCCCCCCATCCTCTCCTACGGCAGGAGTGAAAGAAGAAAATCCTTCTGTGCTGGCTGAGAATTGTTTCAGGGAACTACTGGGACGAGCAACCTATGGAAATATGAATAATGCTGTCAGACCAGTTTTTGCGTAAGTTGAAAATTTGTGGAAGATCTTAAGCGATTTTCTTTATTTCATCCTCAATTCTGTTGCATTAAATTTCTTCCTCCTTTTCATCTCAAAACTTTCCATTCACATTTCTTTAAAAACTTGCCCCTTTTGTAATCTCTCATCTTTGCTGCCTGTCAGTAAACTTGAAGGCAGTTATAGAGGAATGAGTGTCCTGCTTGACTGATTTTTAGAAGTGAAATAATTTACATGAGTTGTTGCTTCAGCTGACCTTTTTTTTTTCAATGTGAAACTTTATCCAAGCTAATAATGTCCCATAGATGAGTGCCACAATCAGTGGAGAGACAAACCAAATAAAATACAAGTAGCACAAAGGAATACTGTGCCCCATAAAGTTATAATTTATATTTTCCTGCCATTTTCTTCCAGGACCTGTTTCGATATTCTTTGAGGAATATCTTTAACAGCTCACTTAGGAGTAAGTGGCAGATATGCACACAGTATGCACATTATGCACAAAAACACATGATACAAATTATACTTGATGTATTAGTACTCAGGGATACCACTTTCCAACTCTGGCTTTTCCTGGTCATGAGGAGACCTGCTTGCTTCTTCTTGCAGATATTTCAAGGTGCATCCCAGGTACAGGAATGCATTCTCTTACATGGCCTAGTTCTTCCCACCAAGATTAAGTATTTTATTTATACACTGAAAGGCCTTCAAGCTTCCAAAAGCCATTTTCAAGTTACCAGTTAAGGAGAGAAATTGCAAAGATAGGGTTGGTGTTGAAGCAGAAACTTGTAACCCCTCTTTTATCTTGAAAAAGCATCACTACAAAGAACTGTAACATTCCCTTACTTTCTATATGTATCTGTTATACCAACCTGATATAAATTTGTGTTGCAAAGTTGAGTCTTTTATTAAAAAACACTCCTTCTTTCCTAGATTTAAAATTTGCATTCCTCCAGAATACCTGTGATCACAGTTGGCACCTAGGTACTAAACAGTCTGGATGGACTACTTGGTACTATACTGTAGCTGCTTTCTTATCACTTCTTAATTCTTTTCGTGAGTTTATCTCAAAATTTCATCCCCATTTGCAGTGATTTCAGTCTTTTGAATCATGTTAGTATCAGGGAAGTCTCCTACAAATAATTCCTGATTCCACAGACTAGAGGTAGTGCTTGGTTTGGGATTTGAGAAGGCATCATAGTTGCTTTTCCTGTGGCTATTCTAAAGCCTATGTCTCTAAAGTATTATTTTCAGCCTATTTTCATTTCTTACATGCTATGACTCTAAGGAGCCAGTTGACTCTGTCAGCTCAGTGTGCCACCTGGTGCGTTTATGCACCAAAATCAGTAGATAATGACCAGTTATTCAGAATATGTTATCTCCTCTATGAATAGAGTCTTTGTAGTCACCATTTTTGTGTTCGACTTTGAGGACACAAAAAGACACAAATGTGTCTTTTTAGAAATGACTGCTCTAAAGGTTTAGTATTTTTGAAGAGCAAGAGATGCAGAAAATGCAATTTCAAGCTGTTTTTCCTAAACAAAAAGGGAGTGCTCTATCTAATCAGCTTCACTTTGTGAATGACAGAACAGTTAGAATGAAAGTTTGAGATAGTCTATTTCACTTTTTCAGGTTGAAAAACCTGCCTTAGCTTCTGATTAGAAAACAATTTCTTCTAACAATGTTCAGCTATTTCACAGCTTTTAAGGAAACTCTGTAAATATAGATAAGTCTTCATATTGCAATGATAACATGAAGGTGCAGGTTCAGATCCCCACCTAAAGGCTTGGTTCATGTGGCACTGCAGTATCAGGCCACATGCTGCCACCTCTTTGCAAAACTGAGAGTGCAGTGCTGCTTGTATCATGAGGCAGGCTTTTTTCAGTGATTGATGGGTTTAAATGTAATGAAGATAGTAGTAATCTGAAGTCAGTCTCCTGTTACAGGTTTAGTCTCCTGTTACAGGTTTGGATTGATGTTAATTCTCCTTGTCTTAGGCAGAAAATCTCCATGGTTATAAGTATCTACATGCAGTAGCTAGAAACTCTAAAATAACAATTTGCAAAAAAAAAGAAAAATCTTACAGATCAGTCTCTAATTGCTTAATGAAAGACAAAAAATGTTACATTAACATTACCTGAAAAAAATTTTTATGTTGTGTCAACAGTCAGAAGCTATTGAGATGTACTTAGCATGGATTTGCAATGGTGAATAGATTAGACAGATTTAGAGAGATACAGAAATCTGATGTAACTTCTCAAGTGTAACAACTGCATTTCCAGTTTTTTCAGTTATCACATCATGTGTGCAGGGGTTTGGAATATTAGCAGACTGATGTTCAGTATTCTTTCAGCAAACATGATGCATGTGCAGAATATTTTATATATTCCCATACATGCATGCTCGTTGGTATCAATTTATTATCTGTTGCTTTAAGGATTACTTGCATGTGTAGCTCTGAGAAAGAATTCAGGGATCATTAGTGGCTCTCTCCCCAGAAACTTGCCTTATTGGTTCTCGTGTTCCTTTGAAATTGAGAGACCTAAATGGGCATATTTGCAATATATATTCAGCAGATCTCAATGGATGGCAGTTTGGCATGTGTTAATCCAGCAATAGAATCTTTTGCAATCTTTATTAGATATTCTTTATTGAAAGAAATGTAATTTGGAAAAAAAAAATAGGAGTTAAGGTGTGACTTGATTTTAACTGAAGTAAATGCACCATACTAAAAATACCCTATACTGTCTTTTGCCAAAACAAAACTACATCAAATACTTCTTATGGTCAGTAAAATACATCACCTACAGGAATTCTAATCCTGCTGTCTTTAGGAGTACAAAGTATGCTGCCCATTGAGCTGTTACACAGAGCTTTGACCAAGTCTGTCATCTTCCCCCGCCTTCTTCCCAGCAGTTCATTTACCTAAAGCAGCTAATACTTGGCCTTTCTGGCAAAATAAAATCGTGTGTCTTGTTTAGAGAGATTTTTTTTTTTTTTGTTAACATGATATGGGATGCAGTTGGCCATAATCTGCCTGAATGGATCTTTGGGTCAGATAAGTGAGAACTGTCAAGGATAAAAGAGAACACATGCTGCCCTAAAAGATTAAAGTATCAGTTCCAGTCAGAAGATAATGGAGAGTATGATTTTCTGATAGAAATAAAATGCATTAGCTAAAATAAACTTTTATGTACAAGATATGATGGACTGTCCTGGAATGATATTAAGAGAAGACACGAATGAATACATTATGAGCCACTAAGCCTTGAAGAATTTAAAGAAGTAATTTTGTTTGGTTTTCTATCCCAAGGCAGGATTAAATACACCTGTGCACAAGAAAGGCAGCTATCCCCAACAGGTACTCAAGCTGGATATTTAGTAATGCAAATCTGCTGATATCTTGGCAGGCAAATACCTTTAAAATTCCTGACATTCTTTCCTCTAGGGATTTCTGTTAAAGGTATGTGATGTCAAAATAGCAGAACTTTTTTAATCTCTGCAATGGAGTGCAAGATAATTTAGGGCACAAGAGATGCATACGCAGGTGACTGGGCTGGGAGCAGCTGCCCAGGGAGGGAATTGACATCTCCAGATTCCAGGCAGAGTGGGTTACAGCATCCAGCCAGTCCTCCTGTGTTCACTTCTTTCACCTCTGACTTCTTTCACCTCTAGGGCTTTCCAGTTTGTTATTTTAAGCAATTTTATATGTTTCCTAAGTTCTTTGAGAAAAAGGAGAGCAATAATGATTCTGTAGCTGAGATACCTGTTTAGGAACACAACTTAAATTCAGTTTTTGTTACAAAGTTTTTTTGTTGATTTGGCACATTTGCTGTTGATTGGCAGATTGTTTGTGGATTTGTTTTGATTTTTTTTTAATCCTAAATCATACCAATTAAAATGCATGCAAAATTTCCTTTTCTTCAATCTTCTAGACTGAAATAACACAGTTATTTTTTCATGCTTTTTCAGAGACTCATATCTCTTTTTTGCAAAAATGTGTGCCCTATTCATATCTTCCAATGTTACTGCTTAAGCAGAATTTTTTGTATTTGCTTGAAACTCTGATAATTTCTTTTTCATTTGTGGTTCTTATCCCATTTAAACGGATACATGTATTATTTGTATTTCGTTTTGATATTTCTTGCAGAAAGTGTTGAAATGCTTCAGAGCATAAAGGCGTATACATACGAAGAGCAGCTGGTTTTTATTTTCCATATATTTTATTTATGAAACTACCATGAAAACAAATATATTTCTTAGAGTTTCTATTCTGGATGGAGTATTCAGCCCTAATTATTTTGCAGCTTGTAATTCAAAACAACTTATTTATCTTCTGTAGAGTATAAATTTTCAAGGTGTTATAACCTTCAGCAGATCCTTTTCATGTAAATAAGCATCTAATGTTACAGCACTGTGTGGAAACAGTCTATTCTTAACTATATATATTTGATGTAACTAGGTTCCCTAAATTTATGGAACCGGAATTTCTGTTCAGCGAAATGTTTATGATCACATCCTAAACCTAGAAAACAAATGTTTTTCTGAAATTCTAAATTTGTCACTTAGTTCATAAGTCATTGTATGGAAGTTTTATGTAAATAAATACTCCCTTTGAGGTGTATTTTGAGAAAATTTGTGAGATAGCATTTCTTATATCTGCAGAATGTACTTATTTCATTATGTCTTAATTTTTGCTTACAGGCATTTAGACCATCATAGACTATGGGACCCTAATGAATTTGCTGTTTCCTGCTTTAAAATTATCATGTATTCTATACAGGTAGGATTTTCTCCTGGATTTTTTTTTCCTTGAATACATGTTTCAAGCACGTGAGAGAGGTTTCAATGCTCATCTCAACATGCTAGTGGTAGACAGTAGATGAAGTCAAAGAATCCAAAAGATCCAAGAGAAGGTAGTGGGATGGTTGTTCTCCAGAGTAAGGAGCTGGGTAACCATGTTGGTGTGACATTGTGCTTGACAAAGAAATCTCTCAGGTTGGTTATTTCTCTGTGCTGATACAGCTGTGCTGCTTTTCCAACCCAAGAAACCAACTTCACATGTAACTGTTGTACTGAGGATTTTTCATAGTGGACAACCTGTATTGTGGCCTGAAGCTGAAGGAGGGAAGGTAGAGATTGGATATTAGGAAGAAATTCATTACCAGAAGAGTAGAGAGGCACAGGATGTACAGGGAAGGTGTGGCTGCCCCATCCCTGGAAGTGTTCAAGGCAGGTTGGACAGGACTTTGAGCAGTCTGGTCTAGTGGAAGGTGTCCCTGCCCATGGCAGGGGGCTTGGAATGAGATAGTCTTTAAGCCATCTATGACTCAAGCCATTCTATGACTCTATGATTGCATCAAACATAGATTCCCAGAAGATAAGAGTAAAATTCCAGGTTTGTGAAAGAAAGCTGAGTTTTCTCAGCATTTATATCAACAGTGCTGAATTCTTTGAACTGCAGTTAGCTGAGTGAAGGACCACTTCATGCTTCCTCTGTACTTGTAAAAATTCCTGGATATTTTAAGACTAAGCTTTTGTACACTGGGCTGGCTGAATGAACCTGTATAGCTTCATCTCTCATGGAAGTTTTTTGAATCCATATTTAGTCATTAATTGATTGTAATTTTGATAAATTTCTGAATTAAAATGTTGCAGAATGGGAACATGGTCATCACCATAGCTGAGTGCTGTATGAGCTTATTCTTGTTAAAGTCACAGATGAAGATTTTCTGTCTGTTTTTTTAATAGGCACAATATTCCCATCATGTAATACAAGAAATCCTTGGACACCTTGATGTCCGCAAAAGGGATTCACCACGAGTTCGTGCTGGCATTATTCAGGTTCTTCTGGAGGCAGTTGCAATAGCAGCTAAAGGATCAATAGGTAAGGTATATTAAATTAAAAGCATCAGGTCAAAGGATAAATTTGCAGGGTGGTGCTTATTTTCACTTTGATTTCAGACTGATTGGATACATTTTGAGAAGGTTTTGTGTATTTTTTTTTCCTTTGTGCTGATAAAATGCTTGAAATCTTGGATTACAATTACTCCAAGCATATGTATTTGGTTGTTTGACTCTTATATAATCCTTTGCATTGAAAAACTGTGAAAGACCTTTCTGTTTGGAAAGAAATCATAAAGTCGGAGAGAACTGTGTGTCACTACAAAATCTCAAGAGCATTGTAGCTTTGTTATACAGCTGTGACCTGAGTATTGCAGGAGTAGAATGATCTTTGAGAAATTTTACCTTATTGACTGCGAAGCAGCTGAAATAAGGTGAAATATGTTGTTTAAAGTTAGGATTCTTCCTTGAAATAAGTGTAGTTATGAAGACATGTACAATCTAGTGCTGATGTTCTTTGGTGTCCTGCTGAAATACTATTTTACTTCATTAGCTTGAGCCTGAACCTGTCCTTCCTCTTTATATGAGATCCACTTGCATGCACGGATTTGGTAAATCTTTTACCATATGATGAAAAGAGCTCATTATTTGATCCAATGTATAGAATTGGATTTTAGTAGCAGGTTTTGAAATAACTGAAGTTCAGGGGTAAGTACCTGCAGTTTAGTCCATTATTGATGCTTAATTTCAGCAACCACTCCTGTTTTGTATCTGAAACTTGCATGGTGAGTTGACTCTGGGCTGTTTGCATTCACCTTTCCCCCAGGATAGGGACAGTGTAGAAAGAAGGTGAGAAGTTTCATGGATCAAGATAAAGACAGTTTGATGGGTGGAGCAAAGCTACATGCACAAGGAAAATCAAGTTACCTCCATCCTGGCCAGACCCAGTAGTGGATTGTAATGGATTATACATACATACCTGATTGTATTTTCTGATTCAAAGTTAATTTCTAAAATATCAAAGTGTAGGCATACCTCAGAACTTTATTTCTAGTCGTGATGCCTCAAATACTATTTCACTCGGTTCTCTTCATCATCCTGCTCTCATTACTTGTGAAAATGCATTGAAAAGCCCAGTTTTAATTTTCTTCAGACATTTCCCCCTTGACAGGTGCAATCACTGTCATGTGTCGTTTCCAGGCCCAACAGTTCTGGAGGTTTTTAATACCTTGTTGAAGCACCTGCGCATCAGCGTTGACTTTGAGCTGAGTGACAGGCACAGTTCAGCAGAAAGTGTCACTTTAAGCACAAGCTCCAAGGAGAATGATGAGAGAATTGTCCAGAATGCAATTATTCAAACAATTGGTGAGTAATGCAATTGACACAGGCTCACTTAAAATTCCTCCCCTTTTCTTTCTTCCTCAGTGAGATAATATTGGACCAGCTTGAATCATGAAGGAATACTACCAAGTTGGTTTATCTGATTGTGTTTGCCTCTCATTCTCAGGCTTGGTTTATGTGCTTGATTTCTGAAAGGTTTTTCTTTTAAATGCTGAGCACATAGCCAGGAAGCTTATGAAAATTAAAAATGCTGGTGGACTTAATTTTAATTATATTATTTGATGGCCTTTGAAATGTAGAAATCTCTACCTTTGGTAAAGAACTACTGTTAGTCCTTTTATGAAAATCACTGCAACCGGTCATATACAGTAATATACATTTAGTAGGTACTACTTTAAAATTGATAGAAATGAATGTTAAACATAGTAGCAACAATGACACCTAATGGCCAGTTGTGCTACCATGACTTAACTGAAGTACGTTAATGCACAGCACTGGAAATTATTTTCTTAACACTGTCTCCCCCTTTCTCAGATTTTCCCTTCATGATAGTGATGTTATATACTGGGGTGCATTTATGATAAGTATTCTTTTTCTTAAAGAACAAGGGGATGTAACTTAAATGTTGTTCACTGATCTGTACCTTCACTTGCCTTGAAGCTTTCTAGAGCAGTAACAAGTATGTGGTAGATTATTTCTCACCATTTAAGTAAAGCTCCCAAGTTAAAATGTTAAACCCCCACAAAAAAAAAAAAAAAATCCCAGAATCGAAACGTCTTTCTACTGAAGTCAATGTTATACTATTGCACAATAATAAAATAGAATATCTGGAGTTGGAAGGGACACATAAGTATCATGGAGTCCAACTCTCTGCTCCTCCCAGGACTGCTTCAACTAAACCATGTGCCTGGGAGCATTGTCCAGATACTGCTTGGTACTGTGACCACTTCCCTGGGGGGCCTGGTCTAGTGGCCAACCTTCCTTTCAGTGAAGAACCTTTTCCTAATGTCCCATCTGAGCTTCCTCTGATACAATTCCATCCCATTTCCTCATGTTCTGTCACTGGTCACCAGAGAGAGCTCAGCGCCTCCTGTTTCACTGCCCTCCTTGAAGGTGTTTGATGTTTTTAGATCAAGGCACCCAAAGCATGGACTCGAGGAGGGGCTGCAGCAGTGCAGTGTAGATGGGACAGTCACATCCTCAGCCAGCTGGTGATGCAGCACAGGGCACAGTTTGCTCTTTTGGCTGCCAGGGCACACTTGATTCACACAGGACTTGCCATTAACCCGAACCCCTCGGTCTTCTTCCATGGAGAATATTGGGAATAACAGTGTTATGTCAGTTCCCTGGGTGCACTTCCACAGCTGTGCTGTGCTGCTGGAAGAGCAGGGCCCAGCCTGCAAGTGGCACTGGCATGGCAGCTGTTCCCATTGGAGCTGTGTCTGGGCAGCTGCTTCAGTTGTGGTGGGTACAGAGCTGGGAGAGGACAGGGTCTTCTGCAACTGGAAACTATTTCTTCCTGGTTGAGCTGGCAGAGCTGCAGTGCCCTTCCTGCCAACTGGTGCTAGCACTCCCTAAGAGATACTTTTAAAGTAGAGGAGGTGTGTGTGCACCTGACATTTCTCCTGGCCCTGCCCAGGTTCCCTCAGCCATTGTGGTTCCTTCTGCTGCTGTGAGGTTCCCCTGGTCCAGAACTCTCCCTGTACCCGATGCTGGAGTGCTCCTCTTCCCATGGTGCTGGCATGCAAGCTGCTCACCTCATCATTCCCCAAGAACAGCAACAGTCATAAAATACTTGTATGTCTCTGGGATTTCTGTCCCCTCACTTGTAATATTTATTGGAGACTTAAAAGACAAAAATAACAATGCTGTGTGCCATGAGAAACACTTCCAGTTCTTCACTAGGTACAAGTTAATAGACTCCAGATATTTAATTTTTAAATTATATATTTAGAGAAGGATAAAATTAGAAGGCTTTAGTACTCAAAGATGAAAGTGAGTATCATGAAAAGGACTCAATAAAATCATTCAGCAAAAATAACTGAGATTATGCCCTAAAACAAGTAATGCGTTTATTCTTCATCTGTGTTGACCTGTTAATATATTCCTTATATTTTAAAGGCTTTTCTTATAAAGAGAAGGGCCCTAAATCTCTTATTCTTGTGTGATTCCATTCTGTTTTTATTTAGGATTTTTTGGAAGCAATCTCCCAGATTACCAGAGATCAGAGATTATGATGTTCATTATGAGCAAAGTACCTGTTTTGGGGACAACTTCGCAATCATTGGATCCCAGTAACCTTGGGTTTGTATATCCTACATTTTTAAATTTTGAATTAAAAATCTAGATTTTAGAATCCTGATAAATTAAGAAGTGAAAAACATTAAGAAAAGTGAAATGCAAATTCTCACTCCTTAGGGGCTGTGTTAAATACTATGTAGAACCAAGACATTGCAGTGTCAGCAAAATGACATCAACCTACAGACATGTTACTGATAAAAATTACCTGATTGGAGTGCATTTTATTTTTCACTAAAGCACTCTTTCTCTCTGCATCTATACAATTTTTTTCTGAAATTATGTACTTTATGTTTGTTAATTCCATAAAATTTTATATGTAAGTTTTGAGAATGAGAGGAATTCAATTAGAAGTACAGTTTTTCAAATAGCTACATAATTTACAAACTATTTTTAAGGTTGTTTTTTATTTAATTCTGTACAAGTTGACTTCAAATGAAGAAATTCCAGAGAATTTTGGATTTTCCCTATGTATTTAGAAATAGGAAAAAGCTATAAGTGGGCAAACTTAATAAACCCCCAATTTAAAAGCTGCTCTACACTGGATATTTTCGCTGTCACACGAATAATTTTGCTTAAAAGACTGCATTTCCTCAGTGTGGGGAAGTCACTGAAAAGGCTGCAGCTGTTCGTTCCAGATGTGCACAGACACTTTTTACCACATAAGTGATCCCCCACTAGATTAAGTAGGAAGTCATTATCGTTCTCCAGCTTCTTGATGGCTTTTTATACAGTATCCCTGCAGCATGGGATGCTATTCCATGGAAGATACAAATCTGTGCCAGGCAGTTATCACTCATTATGGAGATATTTCAAGAAAAAATGCATATGGAATTCTCTGCTTGGATTAACTATTGGGAGTAGTGGTTGTTTGTTTCTTAACTTATAGTTTTCCATTTATGAGCACCTGTGTAAACATGTGCCTGAGCAATGTGCTAGTATGATGTGCATATGTCACTGAGCAAAGAAGGCTTTCTGATTGCTGATAAAGTCTTGCATTACTTAGAATTTTGGTTTCAGCTACCCAAGACATTTGAATGATACAAACAGCCTATTAAGGTAGAAGTTTCCACTGTTATGTACATGCCAAATTTATGAAGAGGATTGATCTTCCTTTACACTATTTAACGGACAAAATGGCTTGTACCTTTTTAACTTCCCTGAAAGAATCTCTTTAAATGGAGCAATTTATTCCAAGTGTCCTTTCATCTCCTAAGATCTTACAAGATTAGTGACTGTGTACCTTTAACTATTTGGCTTCTTTTAGTACCTGCAGGAGTGACATGAAAACAGAAGAAGAACAGGTCATGTAGTGTTTCATGTATCTTCCTGTGATATAAAACCTCTTTTTTTTTGCAGTCTCAAAGTTCTGGAGTCTGCGTTTCTTAAAAGACTCAATTACGTTTTTTAATCCAAAAGAAATTTTCAGTGCTGATGCTTGTGAAAATAACAGTGGTGGATTTCAGAGATTTCTGAGTAAAACAAAGATTTATATCTGCTTCACAATATACAGTTTAATTTTTTCTTCAACTGCACATGCTCCATTTTTTAAGTCTTCCTGTAAATTTTTCTTTCAAAAACATTTAATTATTGCAACTCAGTTGGAAATGTTTATCTATGATCATCCAGCATCTCTTCCAAGATTGCTGTATTCACTTGTCAAAATGAGAATAATGTCTAGAGTAGAATAATATTTCAAAGATATGCAAGAAAAACTAATTTGCAAATTTTTTTTTTTCTGATTGTAGAGATTTGGGAGCCAGGAGGATTCAAATCATGTTATTGAGATCTTTACTAATGGTAAGCCTTCTGTGATCAGTATACTATGTTATATATAAACAAAGTGTTTCCTTTATGTGTATATTTACACATAAAAGTGCAGTATAACCACAATGGATTATGAAAATAAACATACATTCATATTGTATGGACCTGTAATTCTATTGTGTAATATTGTTAAAGCATTTTTCCAACTTACATTACAAACAGCACAAGAAATACGCCTCCACCTCTTAGAGCACTTTGGTGAATGTCAGTTATAATTGGATCTGCAGATCCAAAAGAACATCCTAGAGTAGGTTGAGTTCTGCCAGAAATACTGGCAACATCAAAGTGAAATCACTTTTATCTCTGAGCCTGGAAAAATGGTAATTAGTAGAATGGCAAATATTTTTAAAACCATAGGAATGAATACCTCAGACAGTGTTGTTCTTTCCTTCCTAATATTTCCCAAGTTTCTGGTAAGGTGTGATTGAACTTTTTATCACTAATACATTTTTCAACTGTAAATCTTGAAAGAGTATTTCTGGAAATAGGCCCAGATGGTAAAAATCAGAAAGTGAGTAGTAAAGGAGTCTCTTGCCAGTAGAATCCTTGCCCTGTTTTGTTGCAAAAGCTGAAAACTGTTTAGTGACTCAAATAGGGGAATAATTTCACAAACTAAAGCAGAAGAATGTCCTCCTGGAAAATTTGTTCTGTCCTTGCTTTGACATGAAACTCAGGTATGTTGTTAGGCAAATAGGTTAAACCATTCTGGGTTTATCCAAATCTGAAATCTTAGACTCTGGTTTGAAAAAGAGCTGGGCATTCAGAGTTGCAATTTAGGGATAGAAAACTTGTTAGGAAGGACCTCAGGTGGTCATTTTGCACATTGTCTTCATTAAACATAGACTCAGATACGTCTAAACTGTTCCTGACAATATTCATCTCACCAGTATTAAAAGTCCATTAAAACAGGTAAGCATTGTACTAATGATTTTGAGTCCTGCATAGCCTGTAAGTTTGCTTTAAGGGAGTCAGAGTGGACATGCAGAAGGGATCTAACATTTGGAACACTGAAGTTTGGTTTGCATGTCTTTTAGAATATGGAAGTAAAATCCCATAATGGCACAAAGGCGTGAAAGTCATTGTTCTGATGCTTAATAATTAGGCATTGATAAATATTGTGGAAAAAAATTCAGCATTGTACATCATGTATTCTTTACAAAAGAATAATATTTCATAACATAATTAATCTGTTGTCATGCATACACAGGCAGACAAGTTAATGCTTTCAACAGGCAGTTGAAATCTGGCACTTTATTAAAAGTGTGCATTTAAATTTCCAGCCTTGCTGCTGGTAATATCAGTCATTTTCCATTTTCAGAATGATTGATCAGATGCCTTCCTGTCCCCTGCTCCTGTCAGCCACGTCCCTGTGAACCCCTCAGTTAAGCTGTGGGCATTGTGCTTGCTCAGTGTTGTGGTTTAACCCAGAGGCACCAGGGACCACCCAGTCACTCACTCACTCTGCCAGGGGCATGGGGAGAGAACCAGGATGGTACCAGTGAGAAAAGTGGGTTGAGATGAAGACAGTTTAGTAAGTAAACAAAGGAAACCAAGAAAAATAAAACTAAGAAGCAAGAAAAAGAAGTAATAAAACAAAACAAAATCCCCACCTAAAAAAAACCTAATTGCTCACCACAAGCCAAGTAAAATAGCCAGCCAGTCCCTGAGCAGTGGCAGCCCTCACAAACTTCCTGCTGTTCTGCTGCTGAACATGACACATTTTAGTATGGGATATCCCTCTGGAGGTGTGTGAGCCCTGCTCAGTGTTACCAGCACTGGTTTGGTTACAAATCTAGAACACAGTAGCACATGTGTTACTATCAAGAAAATGACCTATCCCAACCAAAACCAGTAAACACAGTTCACATGTAAAAGCTGTAAGGGTATGGAGTATATATAAAGCAGACAAATCACTGTGTATGTCTTAGATGAAAATACTATTGCATTTTTTGTAATTAAATTTCGAATAATTTTGCTCCCCTCATCCTCAACAGGTTATATATACTTGTAATATATTTTGAGATTGTAATATTCTGGTAACCTCCATTTTAAGGGATGCTGCATTTTAAGTATTTTTGACTAATGTAGATGTTCAGCTAATTAAAATTTGAATTAGTGGTTAGGTAGAACTTTATTTTTCTTTGTGTACCTGCAGAATTTGCTTTAAATAAAAGTACTTGATTGGGACAATCAATTAATTTTTAAAATAACACTATGGTACCAGATTTCTAGATATTTGCTTACTTCATGTTTTGCAATAAAGTACTATTTGTAAATCTGTAAGGTGTACATATAGGCCCTGATTTCTCATATTTTATTTCACATGAGCTTACTCTATGTGTGAACAACTCATAAACTGAAATGGAAAAATCTCTATTGGAATTATCGACTGGAATTACTATCATCTTCAGTTTATGCCCTGCAGCTTTTCATAGGCCGTATTAAAAAAAAAAACATAAATCATACCTCTTTGATTTTTTGATTCAGGGTGTGTTTGTAAAGAAAGAATCCTAAAATATCCTTTTAACGTGAAGGACTTAATTTGAAAATGTGTGCTAAAATCCTTCCAAATTCATAGTGAGGTAAGGAATTTTCAGAATTAATACAGTACTTCAATTTGAATCTGCCTCGCAGATGCCGAAGCAAACCCACTGAAAAGTGAATGACAGCTGCAATTAATTCTTACAATGTAGTAATGACACATTAATTTTATTTCCAACAATGAACAGGTGACTTCAGGATACAAAGCCACAACAATAAGTAATGCACTTCCTCCCCCCTTTTTGGACCCATTGCTGTCTCCTTCACTCATGGAAGACTCTGAGCTGAGGCAGCTGGTCCTGGAAATCCTGCACAACCTCATTGATCGGCACGACAACAGAGCCAAGCTGAGAGGGATAAGGTGGTGCTTTTTATTTATTACCTACTTGAAATTCCAGTTCATTACCTGAATGACAAGTACTGTTGATTTTTAAATGGTTTTGCTAATATGAATTATTAATGTACTGTTTTAGTGAATGCACAGTACTCAGTGTCATTTATTATGGCAAGTATTTTACAGGTAAGCCTCAGAGCACAGTACCTTAAATAACCATTACAAATATAGTTTACCTATATAGAAGACAAAATTTTATTTTTATTTTATGTAGATAAAAAAATACATGATTGTCATAATTCTCTTTCTGGTTCTCCTTCTTCAACTGAAATTTGAATATCCTTGTAAAGTATGGATATAATTATAAAGGGAATTGGGTCAAGATCTGTTTGAATAATTCCTGTATTCCATGTTCTCTTCATTTCCAACTTTTTTTTTTTTTTTTTTTTGGCTAAAACAATACATTTCTTTAATTTGTAGAATAATACCAGATGTTTCTGATCTAAAGATAAAACGAGACAAGATTTCAAGACAAGACGTGAGCTTCATGAAAAAGGTAATAGAATAGAAAAATCACTTTTCTATCTAGAAATAAGTAACTGAACCAGTGGTTTTACTTTTCTTCTACAGCTGTGATTTTGCAGCAAGTCACAGAGATCAGTTTCAAATTATTGTAATCAAGTTACAGTGATTTCAATGTTGAGGTGCTCTAGATACTTGAAAAATGATTCCATGCAATAAAATTTTAATTTATGTGTTCAGTTAAAACCTTTATATGCATGAAATTAGAACAGCATATGTCAAAACTATGAATTCTGAAAAGATCTCCCTGTTGCTAGATCCCTGCACAGCATTTAATTTTTGTTCAGTAGCAGTTTTTCACTTGTATGGCTTTTATTTTTGCCATATTTTTGTATTTTTAGACAGTTTTTTATTTAGAAATCTTTTTATAGCTGTGGTACAGGGACTTATGTCTTATGTTTTAGGTAAAGATGTCAAAGAAAGTTAACTTTGCACAAAACAGTTGTCTTCTAAAAGATTGTTTTCACAAGACTTTGTACCAGTGGCCTCAGTATATTTGGTTCTAAAGAAAAACAGAGTTTTTGTAGATGATACATGGAGTGAAATTGCTTATAGTAGACACCTTGGATTTTATAAGGGAAAAATGCATGAAGCTGTTGCTGTGCTCTGTCATTCCTCACTGTGGTTTATCTGTGTAGATATGTAAACAAAAAACAGAAAATGCCAAGGTAGGCCAAAATACTGCCTATGTAATAATATTCAAACTAGAGTTGTACAGCATTCAAGCAACATTGCAAGATAAATGTTCTTGCAAATTTAGTCCAGTTAATATTCTTTCCAGTACACGTACAACTGGAGTAATACAAACTCTAACATTGGCAATTATTAGTAATGTGACTTTTAAAAAAAGTGAATTAAATTTTAATTCATTAGTTTAATATCTCTGCTTTAAAGCAGTTTGGATAAGATGTATTTTGCTAGATGAAAGTTGTAGCAGTTAAACTAAATATTTGAATTGTTAATACTGATCTGAAGAAAAGGGAAGAAGAGGAAAAGAGATTCTTCACAAGTCAAGAAAAGATCTTCAGGCTTCTAAAAAATATATTTGAAGTATATTTCCCTGGGAAATTGAGTCAGTCAATGATTATCTGTGTGATACTGTTCCAGGTGCATATCATAAGTGTAATGTTACTCGCCTGGTGTAGATGTGCATGTTAGCAGCCTGCTCTTCCCAGGTGCTCTGCATAATCAGAGAGGGATGAGGCATCTCTAGAAGTTCATTAATATCTGGATGCCCATTTAGGCTTCTTTGATGTTACATGGGGATGCTGAGGCAATTGTCTGTCATACCCAGGTGGAATGGAAGCAAACACAGGCACAAAACCCTTCATCTCTGACCACTTGCCCACTTTATATCTGTCCTTTCTTTGAAGGGAAATATTTAACTTCTTGCATTTTCCAGTCTTCTAGAAAGATACATATTGAGAAAATCTACATAATCATTTATTTCCCTATTTGAGTGCAATTCTTTATCAGTGGGATAAAAAAATTCATTACTTTTATTTTCCAAATATACTGAGTCTTTAAACAGCTAACCTTTATATTGTAGTAGCTTCTGTGCTTTGCTAATAGTTGTTTCCCTCTTTTCTAAGTACAATGTGTATTTGAACAACTCTTTGATTTTAGAAGTAATGAAATTACCAACAATGTCATCATTATTTCTTAAGTAAATATCTCCTATTTGAAAAAGAGAGATTGAAGATCACTTTTCTTCCTCCTTCTAGAGCTGAATTAATAAATCTGGAGTTAGTCTTTGATCTTGAAAATTAATTGTCAGCTCTGCAGACTTGTACCCCTCCACAGATTAAGAATGCTGGGGTGGTACTGAGCTCTGTGTTCCATACAACACCTGCTGCTTATCCTGTGTTTTGTGTGTTTGCATTTTTCTTTTGTGTTGAGGCAATAGCTTCTTTACAGAGATTTGATTATGCACAGAGAAGAAAAGTCACTTTTGAAGTGGCGAAAGAGTCTTTCAGTAAATGACCTGTGTTCTTCACTAGAGCTGCAACCTCCCTACACACATCAGTAAATGAGCCCTGCTCATCTTCTGAAATACCTTCTAGCAGAATCTTTTCTTGGTTTGTTGTTTGAGGAGAGCTGCCTAATGAACAAATTTGATGTCTTTACAAGAATAACACTTGGAGCTCATCAGTTACTCAAATGTTTTTGAGAATATTTCACGATTACTTTTTGGTTTCTCCTTTTCATAAATGGGCAATTTTTTTTTTCTAATATTTCAACAGGAAATTAATTCCAACATCTGATACTGTGCAGTGATCATGCAATTCTCTGTATCATCTTCTCTATCTGTACATTTGTGCATAAAATAGAACAATACAGTGTTTATAAAGAAGCTGTTGTTAGAAACTTGAGGTCTACTTGATTAATCATGTACTCGTTTATGTATGTGTACACATGTATTTTATTCTTTTTGGTTTTTTAATTCTCTATCTCAATTAATCTAACATCAAAGTTAGTCCTGTTTGGAGTAGAGAGTAGGACTAGAAGATCTTCAAATATTCTTTCTAATCTAAATTATTCTATTATTTAATACCCATTTTCTCTTTTATGTCTTTTATAGCATGGTCAGCAGTTGTACAGACACATCTACTTAGGCTGCAAAGAAGAAGACAATGTCCAAAAAAACTTTGAACTCCTGTTTACATCTCTAGCTCTTACCACAATTGAGCTGGCCAATGAAGAAGTGGTTATTGACCTCATTCGATTAGCTATTGCCTTGCAGGTATGAGTCTATGTTGGGTTCATTGACTGACATGTGTGATTGGAGATGTGAAGAACTTGGGGGTTTTGTGTATTGATCTTCAAACTGGAAATCTCATAATTTGGTCTGAACTTGGATTGATCACTAAGGAAGTGCACTTTGTTTGTACCATTTACTAATGGGGAAACTTAATCTAATCAGTTTTGTAACAAATTTCCATAGTATGTGCTGTTCAGAAAAAACAGCATATGTGGAAATTTGTTGAAGCATTTCTTAGAATCACTGGTACTCATTAGCAGAATCACAAGGTGTTCTCTCAACTTACGATCTTGTGTTCTGTGTGAAATGTATGGACTGTCTGCACCAGGAATGAAAACTTCTGTATAATAGATTGGTTGGGAAAAGTTACTAAGCCAGGCTATTTAATCTTACCTTAGAGCAAAGTTCTGTCAGTGTCTTAGGCTTTATTCCTTAACATTTCCTTAATAGGTTCAAATATTAACTCATAGTTGCATATGGTCCTCAGGGAAACCAGATAGCTTACTAAGTTTATCTGTGTTGAAATCAAAAATAAAGTAGTGCTAACATGTGCCCTGGAAATTTGATGAAATCTGGCCCTGTATTCCCAGTTCACTCTGTCATTAACCTTATTCCCAAATGTACAGCTGCATTATAAAACATCTGAAATGCAGTTTGCATCCTTAATTTTAAAATATGAACCAAATCCTTACTTGATAGAAAAGACATTAAGAGCTTTACTAGAGCAAAAATAATGCAATCTGAATAAACATAGAAGTGCTAATATGGATTAAATAATTCCCTCTGTTGTGCTGTATCTGTACATAGAAGTGCTAATTTGCATTAAATAATTCCCTCTATTGTATCTGAGATTCATGCTGGCAATCTTTATCAAACTGCTGTTTCTAATATTCCTGAGAAAATGTTATGATCAGCAGGTGTTCAGGACAAGAGACTACCAGTCATTAATCTATCCTTCCTGTCTGAGAAACAGGATTTTCACTTGAGTAAATTTATTTCTTTTCAAAATGGTTGAATTGTTTAAGCTCTCTAACTTCAGATCAATATATTCCTACTTCAGGAGTGAGCTAAAAGACTAGAATTTTAAGAGTTATCAAGGTTTAAGTTATATCAGATAAACATCATACATCAGGTAGTGTTACCAATGATAATTTTGACTTCCATATATTCATATATGCATATATTCATATATGCTAACTTTGGAAAACATAATGCTGCCCCTTTTTTTCCAGGACGTTGCCATCATCAATGAGGATAATCTGCCAATGTTTAATCGTTGTGGTGTCATGGCATTGGTTGCAGCATACCTGAACTTCCTGAGTCAGATGATTGCAGTTCCTGCCTTTTGTCAGCATGTCAGCAAGGTAACCCGTGGTTAAATAATTCAGGTCTTTTAGAGCAATACACAGTCTACTGTAAAATCAGTAAATAACTTGTGTCAGGCACTTGCTTGTAGTGTTGATCTCCCATATTTGTCTCCACTGACATTTTTCTTGATCTTCAGTCTCTCATGATATTACTTGCTGACTCTTAAAATTGTAAACAAAATAATTTTCTCTCAAGGTATAGCATTTTTATTTTGCTTATGGTACCCTTTATAAAGGGCCAAATCTCCATCTGGTATATGGCCCCACTGTCTTTGGTAAAACAGTATTGACATGCACAAGACCATGACAACCAGATTTTTAGTCTAAAGGATGAGAGCCACAATCTCTTTCCCTGGTTAAAAGAAATCCCAAATGTCTCATTTGTGTTAACGTGGATGTTAGTAAATATTGAAGAAAACAACTATGGAGCTACTCCATTTGTACTATTTGACTTGGGGTGGTTTTTTTCAGGTCATTGAAACCAGAAGTGTGGAAGCAGCTTATTTTCTACCAGAAACAATTTTCAAAGACAAATGCGAGTAAGTAGATACAAAACGGGAATTAGTGAACAGTGAAGTCCCTATTTTGCTATTAAAAATCATACATCATTGAAAAATGTTCCATATGTGAAAAAAAATCAGATGTTTTATGGTGTTCTGGACAAGCAGAAGAAACCCAAGCATTAAAAGCATGTACACTTACAGGGGAAAAAAAAAGTGAGTTTCAGACTTTTTTATTGTAGTCAGAGGCATTTGTGCACAATAGGATGCTCAGTGTGGTAACACAGCAAAATAAATTTTCACTGAATCACAGAGTGGGTGAGGCTGGAAGGGATCTCGAGGTCATCTGGTTCAAGCCCCCTGCTTAAGCAGGGTCACCTAGAGCAGACTGTACCACAGGACCACATCCAGAGGCTTTGGAATATCTCCAGGGATGGAGACTCCACATCCTCTCTGGGTAACCTGCACCAGTGCTTGGTCACCTTCCCCTTCATACAAAAAAGTGTTTCCTGATGTTGAGACAGAACCTTCTGTGTGTCAGTTTGGGCCCATTGCCTCTGGTTCTGTCACAGAGCAGCACTGAGAGGTGCTTAGTTCTGAGGCCTTTCCACCCTCCCTCCCTTAAGGGAGGTGTACACATTGATGAGATCCACCTTCTCCTCTCCAGGCTGAACTGGCCCAGCTCTCTCAGTCTTCATTGGAGAGATGCTCCAGCCCTGTAATCCACCTTAGTGACCCTGTGGTTGGCTCCCTACATGTCCTGACTAGCCCAGCTCCTGACTCAGCACTCCAGGTGTGGCCTTACCAGAGCTGAATAGAGGGCAAGGATCTCCTCCCTCGACTTCCTGATGTGCTCCTCCTGATGCAGCCTAAGATCCCCTCAGTCTTTTTTGCCACAAGGGCACACTGCTGGCAAATGACAAATATTATAATTAATTAATTACTATTAGTATTATTGTTGCTGTGCAAGTTTGTTTGTTTTTTTTTATTTAGCAGAGATCATATTCTCTCAAGATGTAGCAGAATAGGTGAAGAACATATTTCAGATATACAAGAAGTGTTAAAGTAATCTAAAATACTGCAGAAGTTTTCAATGGACTGATTTTAGGTGTGTATTCATTCCTAAAAAACTGACCAAGCTTTATTTCTAACAAATTATTACCGTTGACCCTTTTTGGTTGTTCACAGACATTAGAGAAACATTTTATTTGACCAACAAATATCAATTGGTAGACAATAACTTCAAATATATGTTTTGACAGTCTTCCAACATCCTTAGAGAAGGATGAAAAAGATTTATTTTTCCTGACAAACAAGATTGCAGAATCATTAGGAGGCAGTGGATACAACGTGGAAAGATTGTCAGTTCCATATGTGCCCCAGGTTACAGGTAAGTGGTGATTTGTAGCAACACCACTTAGTACCAGTTATTAAGAATGTTTTCCTGATGTGTTGTGTGCCAATGAAATGTAATGTGACTGCTTGGCATCAAAACCTAATCAAATCATTTTGTCTTCTCAAGGTGTTTTTCTTTCTCATTAGCTACTGTATTATTGCTAAGAAGTTTCAACTATTTGTCCTTTTAAGATTTTTTTTCCTTAAAGAATCGAAGTGAGGCAGAAAGTCCTAGAACCCACTTTGACTCTTTTTAATGAAGTCTTTGCTTCAAAAGAATACCTGTGTTAACTTAATCTAGAAAATGAGGAAGGAATATACAAATCAGCTTACTTTATCTTTTTCATGTAAACATTGGATGGAAGATACTCTGTCCTTTTGCCATATAGTTTTGTGCTGATTTATTTGCCTTAGTTAAATTCTCAGTGAGCAGATGTTAATTTAAGCAAGAATGAGATGTTTTCCTCCATCAGATACCTATGCAAGCTTTAGGGTCAGGTAACAGTGGAAATAAAGTGTTGCCTGAGGAAGGCTTGTGGGAGCTCATGCTGCACAGGCTGAGTGAATAATGTGAGAAAGACTATCTAGTATGTGACATTTGTATGCTTTTGGCTTTTAATATATTTTCAACAGCCAATTGAATAACTTACTGAAAAAATTGATTGAAGAATTTGTTCTTAACCATGTGTGTTTTGTGGCTGGATATAACTGGTTGCTCTTGGAGTATACATGGGCATACTCCAGCCCAAAGCATGGCCTTTTTAAAGTACCTAGCAGTAAAATTATTTCTGTATTCTGTAGCTCACACATAGAAAGAACCAAAGTACACATAGGCAGTGAATGCCAGATGTGTTGCTCCTGCAGTCTGATTCAGAGACATTGCTGCCTGCTCTTGAATATCTCTTTTGGATAGTTACTATGGGAGGAATTGAGATGTCCAGACAGCAGCTGTGGTTTTGTTCCAAATGCAAGCAGGCACATAAATGATATGTTCCAGCACAGCCACTGTCTGTTTTCTGTTGCTGGTTTTCTTCTTCTAAAAAGGAAAATGTTCCTTTACTTATTTCTTCTGGCATCTAAAAAAACAGTTAATGTTATATTTTAGTATTGGCAGAAAAGGTGGGCAGCAAGTGAGGAAATGTTACAGCCTTGAGTGAATGAGAATGTGATGAGGAAGATAGCCTGGTTTGAAATTTATGTTAAGCCTCTTCTAGAAACTCAGCTATATTTGTACCCACATGACCTCACTAAGGTTTTCTTATATACTTGGCTAAAAATGCATTCCCACACAGGAAGAGACGTAAGTTCTGACATCAACATCAATTGAGTTTAACTGAAAGTGTGTGATTAACTGCCTCTGCAGGTGATGAGAAATTGCCATATTTAATCCTAAATCTTAGCATATGTGAATCAGATGGGTTTGAGGATTTTGTAATTTTTTATAAAGAGCAGCAAGCAAAACTTGTTCCTTGACTGTTGTCATAGCTAGTTAAGTTCACTAATCTCTGATCCTGTGGAATATTGAACTTCCCAAGCTTTTCATTTAACTAAATCAGGACCAAGTGAATATTTTGGAATTCCTAAGCTTTTCTTTTTTTAACTCCAATGAAATGTTTCATTTCTGCTATTAATATTATAATGTTAGAATGTAGTGTTTCAAAAGAGATCATTAATCTTAATTTAAAAATCCATTTTTTGTATATTCCTGTGAAACCTAGGGTTGAACCCAAAGCACCTGTAAATATTTCATCCTCATTATTTCTACTATTTCCAAATATCAGTGATACGATGCTTAACAATGACTTATAGACATAGTTTTGTCATCTTGTCTTTCTTTCGTGTCTTGATATGTTTTTAACAACTAAAAAGGTATTTGTATTTGCAAATTTTTATGCCTGTTTCTCTTTCATACTTGAGGGAGGGAGAAAACTAATAATTTAAAAGTCTTTCAATTTTTATTTGTCTATACATATATATATATATATTTTTTTAATTCAACTCTATTTCCATCAGGCAAAAAACATCATAAATGCAAACACAAGCCGAAAGGTAAAAATGAGCTGTAGGTCAGCCTGCTCTCCTGCCCGTGGTGTGTCCCTATAGGATGTGCAGTCAAAAAATGCTTTTATAAGGCCTAAAGACCTTTAGGCCAGAAACTGTGTTGTACTTAGTGGACTTAGTGTTCCCTTATGCTTTTTTTGTTTTGTTTCTCTCCTTGACATGCCTATAGCAATGTTAGCTGCTGTGGAGTTTGCTGTTGTGTTTACTCATGAGTTGGTACTCTACCAAACGGTAGTTTCCTGTTTTGTTTTCCTGAGCAGATAGTAGAGCCATAGGTATCATTTTTGTGATGGCATTAATTACCTCTTAGAGTGACATTACAAAAATCTGTAGAAAATTGGAAGAAGCTCTCAGTTGTTCAAAGGTGATTCATCTTAGTCACTGGCCATTCAGGATAATGACTGCACAAGGAGTAGAGCCCTTCACCCAGGAAAAAAGGTACCTTAAAGGTCATTTTGTTCCAAGCCCCCTGACAATGGGCAGGGATTCCTTCCACTATCCCAGATTGTTCAAAGCCCCATCCAACCTGGCTTTGAACACTGCCAGGGATGGGGCAGCCATAGCTTCTTTGGTCAACCTGTGCCAGTGTCTCACCACTAGGAAAGAATTTCTTGCTAGTATCTAATCTAAATCTACCCTCTTCTAGTTTAAAGCCATTGTCCCTGTCAAAAGTGATGGATCCCACCTGGGTCAGTGAGGTGACACACAGAGCTGCTCCCACTGCCCCTGGGCAAGGCTTCTGGGACAGCCTTGGCAGGGGCTGGGGCAATGAGTGTTGGGGCTCCATCACTGTCCTTGAGCCCCTGGGCTCCTTCATGTGTGTGGATGAACACTGTATCCTATAAGAGAAAAAATGGTAATTTTCACAATTTTTTTACTCATGTAATATGTTGAAATTAGAGATAAATGGTCATATATCATATGCAAGTTTAGTGAGGCATCCATTACAAAAATGAATTCTATCCAAAGTAGTCCCTAAAATGTATCTTTTTGTTTGTGTGTCAATTATAGAGAGAGCAGCAAGATGGCAGCAGAGATGTGGTTTTGTCAGATATTTTCTCTTGGGAGCTAAGATGCTTTCCTCAGATTTGGAATGTATTGGGTCATGTACCAGTGAGCCTTTAGGGATTGAAAATTCAGCAAATTCTTCAGAATGCCATTTCAAATGCTCAGGGCTTCTGAGAACCTGGCAAATATTAGTAGAATTCAGGTGTTTTTTGTTAATTTTGTTCTTTCACTGCCTCTCAATCTTAAAATGACATTTCATTTATGTGACTTCTGAAAGGTATTTCTTAGCTTTTAAAAGCTGAGCATATTCAGCTCTGCTGGAATGAATTCTGTTTGTTCATGCTCAATATTTGCACTGCAGAAGCACTTTTCTTGGCTAGAAATGGTTTAAACAAAGGTTGCAGAAGAACCAGCATAAATTACCTTGTCATGGGGGAATTTTATAGTCCTCCCTTTTTTGGTATCAAGTGCCTGTAGCTGCTTCTGACTGTGTAGTGCAAGTCATCAAATAATGATAGCAATAATTTGATCGATCAAATGGCTTGGTCTTGGTTAAAATCTAAAATATGGCATTGCAATTCATGGTTTTGTAAATGAGATAACACAAAAGGCCCTCAAGTGTCTGTCAGAGGATCCATGTGGCAAGTCTTAACACGTATTTTTACTGTTAATTAAAATCTTTTGTGAATATATTAAATGTCAAAAATGAGAAAACACTAGTGTTGCATTGTCCTAGGACTGCAGTCACAAAAGGAGATTCCATCAACTGATGGATCATTTGATCATAATCTCCTTATGCATTAATTAAATTGTGCTGCTTCTTTTAATATCAGCACAGTTGGTCTTATTCTGACAACTTTTTAGGCCAGCTGGACCTGCTAAAATATTTGTAGGAAGTGAGAAGTGGAGAGAATTTTTTTCACCCAGTAGATTCTTAGACTTGCTGAATATGGTACTTGTAGCAACAAGAATAAGGATTGTTGTTCATTTCCATTCAGAAATCTTTGTTTCTTCTGTCGATGAATTATCTTCCAAGAAGCCCTTTTCTGTTTCAGAATACCTTAAAACTAAAACCTTAATATTTCAATTTCACAATCAAAAAAAAAAAAAAACAGGCTTTTGTAAAGGATTTTGCGACTATGTATCATCATGTGCTATGTTATTTATTATGCATTTGAATAAGATCTCAATTTTTTAAATTCTGGACTTTCAAGGGAATGTTGAGAAGATCTGTAGTGAGGTAAAAGGTTATTTTTCTTTATATTTAGTAATTTAGAGCAGTAACTGTAAATGTATCATTTTTACAATTAGATGATCTTAGGTTAAACAGGCATATGGAAATAAATCTGCATCTAATGGGTAGAAATTTGACTGATTATGTTTCAAGAGTGTTATGCAAAAAGTGAGATAATTTCTTCTTGTGCTAGATGAGGACAGACTCTCCAGGAGGAAGAGTATTGTGGACACAGTGTCTCTTCAGGTGGATATTCTGTCTGGCAACAACACAGAGGATAAGGTATGAAAATCACAGATTATTTTAAAGCAGCAACTTGAGTGGAGGTGGAGGGGAATGCAAGTGAAGTTTTCCCAGGAAGTCGAATATCTGATTATTCTAGCAATGTTAAATACTTCAGGGGGTTGTTTTTTTTAAATTGTGTCTTTGCAGAGTTGTCAAAGACAATCTGCTGATCTTATTGTATAAAAGAGTATTTTATCACTACAGTTTTTACAGATAGTACTGCAGATTATGATGTAGCAATACATTTATTGTATTATACAATAAATATAAATACAACTGGTATTTTATGAGTAAATATTCTAAAATGGTTTTTTTGAGTTTTGAGGGGTATAATAAATTTCAGCATCTGTATCCATGTATCATTTGAAGTATTTGAGAGACTTCTTCAACAACCTGGGGCAGTGGGATACAAGCTTAGAGAAATAGAAGCCGGGTGGGAGACCTGTAGTGTCGGAGTGGGACAGGTAGACTGGGCAGGCTGTGTGCACCAGTGTCACTGCTCCCCTCCAGGAGAGTTTGGCATGCAGCACATAAAAGTCACAGGAAGGATAAAGTAGCAACAAAATGTAGGGTACAGGAGCTGATGCTAATTATTCCTTAGGAAAGACCGCGTTATAATTAAAATTATCCCACCTCACTTGACACTTCATTTAAAGTATTTCTTAAAATAAATTTCTACATCTAATGAATATTTTTCAAGGTTCTGCTGATTTTTATTAACTAGGTTTCTGCTGACTGCATGGAGATTAGCTCTTAAAACTGAGGTGTTTGTATCTCAGATGAGGTACAGATGATTTCTACTTTTGACATCCTCAAGCACAAACTTGCCTGGAGAAATGAAGCAAAATGTGTGGACTGAGTCAAGCTGAGTGTTAGTTAAAAATTCAGTATTAAGCTATAGCAAAGGAGCAAGCTTTACTTTAGATAGAAGTGATATGTTTCACAGCATCATTTATTATTACTATTACTATTATTTCTTTTTGCTTTGTGCTCATGATACCTCAGATGAGCTTTTATGTTCACTTCTTGCTTTTGTGCTTTAGCAAGGATACAGATAAAAGTTCATGAGGAAGAATAAAAAGGTGTTTGAAAAATAAGTGAAACAATCAGATCTCTAGCTTTCTGAAACAAATAAATGCTCCTCACGGGACTGAGGCTGTTTGACATTAATATTCTTTCTTAAAATCACATGTTGTATGTGGTTACATGTAATTGAACAACTCCCTTGAAAGTAGAACTAAATGAGAGAAGTTTCCATTTCAGGTTTCAAATTATGCTGATATTATGTCAAGCATTGATACGTAGACCTTTTTGAAGTGGATGTAGTGGTTGTAGATAAAATCTTTTTATGGGTTCTCAGCTTAATGAGGTCTTAATGTAGTCCAGTGTCTCAGATAATTAATTACTTTTTATCTCTTAAAACAAGACTTTTATTAATCAGGAGCACAGGAAGCAGAGTATTCCTCCTTTACTTGCTTTATGAGATTTGTTTACAAGGCCGAGGAGAAAACAGTGTTTTCCAGTTAGCTGACTGCACCTTCATACCTATGTATGAAATCTGGTTTTCCTGCTGTCTAGCTTAGTCAGTGTAGCAATCCATAAACATCAGCAGAATGAAACTGCAAAAAAACAAGCATAAATCTTTATGATTGAGAGGATTACCTACTTAATTAATGGAAGTTTTAGGACATAATGATGTATGGCATTGTTTCTGCACTGAAATAGAAGGTTGTTTTTCCATAAAACAGCTGTTATTGTATATAATACAAATGCAATTCTTCTGCTAGCGGATGCAAAGTTTTTTGTAGTGCCAAATCTGTTAGTGAATCCTGTTCAGGAAGGTGAGTTATTCCATAGTTATCCCCATTTATAATGTGAAAGCACTTGTAAATGCAGGTAGTGCTCCTCTTAATGCTATATGCAACTATAATGCAACTATAATGCTGGATAATATCAGCAACTAATGGGGAGGTTAACTAGAACTATGAAAAGCAGCCATAAGCAACTAAGATTTACCAAATGGGAGTTGTGTTAAAGGTGATTTCGGAAACTGAATACTCTTGATCTCTAGCCATATCAACGAATATTTGACAAAAATAGTGTTTCACTGTTTATTTATTATTTTTTATTTATTCAGAGTTAGAGAATACATGCTTATTAAGTAAAACCTGTTAGAAAAATATAATTTACAGCTGCTGCTCATGAAATAATTCTCATGTAAAAAGGAAGCAGCTACTTCCTTTTCCCTTAACCATAGTTCAACCAATGAATTTAAAAATTGAAAGAATTCATAATCTTCTGAATGGAATAAAGGAACTTTTTGCTACTTTACCTCTTATCTTAAATCATATTGGACCATTCTAAAGAGTTAATGTTTATCAGGAAAAATAGAAGTGCTGCCTGTTTACATGTTGGAAGGTTTGAAGTGGGGAAGTTCAAGCCAAGAAACCATGTTATGTTCAGGTGAAGACTGTTCTGCCATCTAAACATTCTCCCCTAATGCCATGAGGCTGGCTTCACTATAAATAAATTTACTGGTATAGAAACTACATCTATAATTAATTAAAACACTTTGGTAATTTTGCATCCTCAAGCAATTCCTGGTGAAGTACATCTGCAGCAGCAAATGGGTATTCATATCAGTAGATGAACAAATTTTCTCAGTGCATCAGACACAACTTTAACTCCAGTGTTTATGATGTAAGCACCAAATTATTTGGATCCACCAAATTATTTGTACCATCCATACTTTGGATGGTACAAAGTTAGCCTAAAGCAGTAACCATTTTCCACTCTGCACTCCACTGTCCATTGACGTTATTAGTAACAACTGTCTAAGAACCAGTACTGAGATTTTACAGTATAGAAATGCTGCAGCTTATTCCTGACCTAAAGGACTCTTCTGCCAAGATAAAAATCCATTTATAAAGTATTATTGCCATAGAGCATCTTGACTACAATTTGGAAAGTTTTCCGTGATCTAATTTGATAAAAATTTCCTCACTAACTTTTAATAACTAAGTTATTAGAAACTTTTAAGGCAGGAAAGTTCTGGCCGTTTTGGCCTTCTGTATTTTATCATATTCCTTATTTTGTAGAAGCTAATATGTTATATGTGATGATTAAGAAGTTTTGTTTCTATGTGTTTAGATTGATAATACTGAAGAAATCACCTTTGAAGCTTTGAAGAAAGCCATTGGTAAGATTTATTGCAGTTGTGTTTGTGCAGCATAGTTCTCAATTACTATGGAATTGCTGAAGAAAAAGGAGAGGCCAGAATAACATAAAATATTACTTTTATTTCTTTTCAGCGAGTAAATTTATTTAGAACTCCTGTTATTTATTTCTAAATCTCTGAAATTATATCTTGATAATGTTAGTGAATTCATTTTCTGAAGCTAATAGGACTGAATGAAAAGCATCTGAAAATGCCTGTCATCTATTACATTTGTGGTGCAAATCAAGCTATAAATGTGAGATATTCAAGTTATATTGAGTGATTACTTATGAAGTAACTTGAGTATTTTTTATGTATTAAAATTTTCAGTTCTTCAATGCATTCAAAAATAGGTTGTAAATTACACATTGTGGATTTTAAAGTACTAAGATATTTTAAAAGAATATTTTTCTGACAAGTACTAAGATATTTTAAAATAATATTTTTCTCACAAGTCACTTGGCTACGAGAACACAGAATTCTCTAGATTCCTTATTTCATATTACAATTAGTAATTGCTTATTAATGCTTTGCAGTCTACCAAAATCCTGTTTAAAATATGGATTAAACATTGATGTTTAGAACAGTAGACACATTCTAAATAGTAATTTAATCTGACAATATTCCAAGTGCGCCTAATCCCTGAGGTACTTAAATTCATTAGATGCTGAAAACTTCCAGCTGCTTGTAGGTTCAGTTAGCATATGGAGTTCCAACTGGCTTTTCCCAAATTCTGATAGAAAACTCTGGCCACCTGTCAGCGTGATACTGGGAGATTCTTGTTTCCTCTTCAGTCTGAACCTGTGTGCAGTAAGTGAGAAGTGCAGGCAGTAAAGCAAACGTGAGCCTGGATGTTATTTAGTTAAAGACTTAGTAAGAAAGGGGGAAAATTGGGTCTTCAAACCATCTCCCTGAAATTTTATCTGCATTTTGCTTTAAGAGCAATGCCAAATGGCATCTCACTTGAGAATGGCTGCATCACTCCAAGCACAAGCCTTGTTCACTTCTGCAGTGCGCCTTTGATGTATCTTGCACTTCATAAGCAAAGATTGCATTTGTCTTTATTTTGCTTTCATTTCTCTTTTAAGAAAACAATGGACTTGAAGAACAGGAAAAGGAAAAAAGACGTCTTGTGATTGAAAAGTTCCAAAAAGCACCGTTTGAAGAAATCGCAGCTCAATGTGAAACCAAAGTGAGTTTCTGCAAAATGTCAGCACTGAGGATATCAGTGTAGGCATTAATGGGCATGTGCTGACTGAAGGTGATTTAAGTTGTCATGTCACTGCTGCTTTTACTTCTTTAGAAGTTCACTTCTTTGTTTTGTCTCCACTGCTATCAATGTTGGGAGATTCCAGTAATTTGAAGTGTGTTTTTGTTTCTTCCTAGACCATTTGGAAGGTAATGGTTAACTTGTGCATTCTTCCCCTTAATATTTTCCTTGCTGTCTTTGAAATCCAGGTTCACAGTCCATTCCTATTTCATTGTGAGATAACTGGAGCAGCATTTTACCCACTGTGTATTTTAAATAACTAAATGTATTTCAGGTTTGTTAAACTCCTGTCTGCAACAGCAGAATTTGCTATATAACTCTTGGCACTCCAGGACAGGCTCACTCAATCTCAAATGCATCTTTAGGCTCAGAATCCTTGCAGCAGTGGGAAAGGAAATTGAGAAATGTGGCCTAGATTTACATGTGGCAGTGTAGAATGCACTCACCTGAGTATGGCCTGGCACACCCATTGTAGCTCAGTTCAATAGCTAGGAGTTAATAATTCAATTTGAATTTTTTTTTTCCCTAGGCAAACTTGCTTCACGATAGACTGGCACAGATACTGGAACTCACCATCCGGTAAGGCTTTATGCAAGAAGAATATTGTCACTGAAAAATTACTTTTAAAGCAGTTGTGGCTATTTTCAGATGGTTATGTCATAGTGTTCTCAAACACATGTAATAGAGAGAAAATAATTGCCTTAACTGAATGCTGTGGTTTAACCCTGATAGGCCCCATGTAGTTTCATGTAGCTACTGGCTTGACCCTCCTCAGCAGGATGAGGAAGAGAACTGGAAGGGTAAAAGAGAAAAATCATGCATCAAGATAAGAACAATTTAATAGCAAAAGTCACACATGCTAACAAAGCAAAGTACGAAATTCATTCACTTTCCATGGGCAGGCAGGTGTTCAGCCATCTCCAGCTAAGTGAGGCTCTTTGGGAAGGCAAAGGCCATCACTGAATGTTTTTTTTTCCTACTTCTTTAAAGCTGTTATTGCTCAGAATGACACTGTATGATATGGGGTATCTCATGGGTCAGCTGGGTTCAGCTGCCCTGTGTTATCAACATTGTTTCCAACACAAATCCAAAATACTGCCCTATACCAGCTACTGTAAAAAAAAATTATTCAAATGAAAACCAGCACACTGAAAAAGAGTACTTTTCATCACTTCAATTTTCTTAGTGCTTTAAATCTTCCTGATAATGGAGAATATCCAGAAACCATGTCATTGTATCTTACAGTATCTTTGTGTCTATCAGTAGTGCAAGATGCTAATGTTTTCCCATTGCTGCATCTGGTTGAGAAAGTAATAAGACATTGAGCACCCCAAGTAGTACATGGTGTTATTATAGAGTTGTGCATATCGTTATGCAGGATAAATACTGTTTATTAGCAATAAGATGGATTTTTATAGTTCTGTAACATCAACAAAATTGATATAGACAAGAATATAAAAATTCTCAGGGCATGATAATTCCATTAGAATTTCAGAACTAGGATAAAATGCTGTTGCTATTTTATTATTTTATAATATACTGTTGGTATATATAAGGGGGGGTAGTTTACTCTTATTTCTTGCCTGTAAGTCTGTAAAGTTATAAAAAAGCAATCCTTATAACTATAAATTCTGTGTATTGGTTGTGCTTCTCACACAGTCCTCCGCCTAGCCCCTCAGGAACGATGACCATTACTGCTGGACATGCTCATTACCATTCTGTTCCAGTCTATGAGATGAAGTTTCCAGATCTTTGTGTGTATTAAGTGTCTTCTGAAGTCTGCTGGACATTATTTAGAGTAGAGTACAATAGAAAGAACAAGATGAGTTTTCAAATTTTATTGTTTATTGTATCTAACTTTAATATAATGATGGACATGAGCCAAATACTGATCACTTTAGCCAAATTCATGAAACTGTCTTGAATTGTTTTATTCTGTAATATATTTTGAAATAGGGTTTTCACATACCATGTTTCTTCATTTTCATATTTGAGTACATGTAAAAGTCAGATTTAAAACTTGTCTTGCCATATAGGTAAATATTTCAGTTACTCTAGGAATTTGTGTTGCTTCAAATTCCTTTAATTTGAGATATTGTAACTGAAAAACCTATTAAAGCCTTTTTTTGTTTTGGTTTGTTGGTTTGTTTTGGTTTGTTTTGTTTTGTTTTTTGGTTGGTTTGTTGGTTGGTTGTTTTTTTTGACTCCGCTCCACCTCAATTCTATGTGAAACGAGAATGCTTTTGGCTTGCTTCAACTCATTCAGTGTAACCAGTGGAGCACTAGCTGAGCTCCCTCTTGTTCATGCTGTCATAGCTACTCAACTTGTTTGGTTTGGAATAGATGGAAAAAACCAAAACTTTACATGTGTTCAAATACAGTGAATGAATTAATGCACTCTTGTTAAGTATATTTTGATGCATCACATAACATGCTTTTTAGATAGGTACGTCCAGTATATGTCCTGTGTTTCTTGCTAAAAGTTAAATCTTAAGCTTTGCCTAAGAGGGGAGAAATCTCTTGAAGCACGGAATTGTGCAATATATTTCATGTCTTAAGATGTATGGTTTACAGACTGTACTTTTGAAAACATTGTAGTATTTTACTGCCTGCTTTAGTATAAATACAGGAGAGATATATTTAGTATAGCAGAAAATAAACTGAGGGCATTTTAAATCATAAATACTGAAATTATATTCTATGAGACATTTCTCTGTAGTTTATAACAGCTTTTTAGTCATATTTTAGAAATTGAAAGAAAACTCAGTGAAACCATTTAAAAATCAAGAATTTATTACATATATTTTCAAGCAAAAGCATTTTTAGAAATACATCTCTGTGTTTGTTTTTGTTTCATTTCTCAAACCTTTAAGGTAACTTTCATAGGTTTACGTATCTGAGCATATACTATTCAAATGTAAATAAAGTAAAACTGAGAGTAAATCATGCACATTTGATGATAATTGTCAAGGCAGTCTTTATGACTCGTTAAATCCTGCAGGCAAAAAAAAGGAAAACAGCATTCATTGATGCCATGAATATTAAAGTCCCTTAATCTGTCTGAATCTGACTGGGGCAGTGCAAATCTGAATGAATGATCTCCAATATCAGTAATAAATGTAGATGTTTAATTGAGTGTTTTGGATGAACACTGAATATGAACAAAGTAACCTAACTTCAATTAGCCTTGCTTTGAGCAGGAGCTTCGTTTAGATGACTTTCAGAAGTCCCAACCTAAATTAATCTTTGATTGCATAACTCGAGATGTGAAGGATTATGAGCCCTGCTAATTTGCTGACTTTTTGGAGCATTTGCAAACCTACTATAAAAAGGATTTTCCTTTTTTTGAACTGTAGTCCAGTAGAATACTGGACTACATTTAAAAGCCTGATGTATCATGACATCAGAGAAACATCAGCTACTTAAACCTATGAGATGACATGCTGAGACTTTCAGAAAGCATTCACAAAACGCAAAAGGTAATTGAGACCTTCTTTTCAGTTTAACAGTGCAATCACAGCTGTTAGTGGATGACGAAACAGCCCCTTATCTACAGCATTCCGTTGTGATTTTTACTGCTGCAGCGTATCAGCCTGATCAGACCACAGTCTACACATAAATAGGACTCTAGCTTTTAGTTTTCACTTTTTTTTTCTTTTTTTTTTAAGGTAAGATAATAGTTTTTTGGCCTGTATAAAGAGTGTAATTTTTTAAAAAGTAAATCCAACATAGGGATACAATGTAAAACACCTACCCACTCTGTCATTTTTTTAAGAATATCACTCCGCACTTTTGTACAAGAAGAAGGAGTCTAAGTAATAAAGAATGTACTTCTGTTTGCACTTGTGCAGTATGGAGACTGTGCTGTAAATACAGGATTGTTTCTGTGATTGAATTCTGTTGCATGAATGCTGCATGTGAAAAAACTAGATTCAGCGTTTCATTTTCTGTTCAGTTGATGAAGTATTTTTCCTTTATGGTGAAGGTAGGTTTCCGTGTTTCCAATGTCCAGTTTGGGAAATGCAGGTGTTGTGCAGGTGTAGTGCAGGGAGTGAAGAGCTTGTAACACTCTGTGTGTTCATGTGATCTTTAATTTCTTTATGGAAATTCAGGGAGTCTGTAAGTTGATAATGGGTTCACTCTGGCCTTTCTAGACACATGGGAGATGAGAGCGACTGTAAAATGTATTGTTTTGGTAGTTACTGTTATATGAGCCAATGAATGAAACCAAAAGAATTAAGAATGCTGTTTGTTGTACAGTACAAAGCTGCTTTGTTTCACTTATCTCTTTATGTTCTTCAGACAAGCTGCAGAACTTAAAAGCTCCTTATAAAAGCTGGCACTGTGTTAACTGCAACACACTGAGCACTTAATGGTTATAATTGGTACCCAGTTTAAATGTATTCCAGCTGTTGCTTGGGGTTCTCTTTCCTATTATGTCATCTTGAAAAAAATGTAGCTTTTGGTAGTGAGTCACTTTAAGATAAATTAAATTCATGGTAATTTTAAAAGGTAGAAATAGCCTGTTGTCCAAAATCAGAGTAGGGTTAATTTGTCTGTTGTTCCAATGGTCATATATTCTGTACTGTACGTAATGAAGCAGTTTCAATAAATGTAAGAACACACTGTGCAATCTATATTTAAGCAATAAAATAAACCAGAATTTAAAAATTAATCTTTTCTAAGGTGTCAGTCAATTTTTATTGCTCACAATTTATGTCAGTTACTAATTTTTTAGCATTTAAAATAGCCCTCCGTTTACATACCCCTTTTTTTTTTTTTTGCAGATATTACAGCATTGCATCGTTATTAAACTACTACATTTATTTACTATTAAACCTGGACAGGCTTGAAAGGTGAGGCCGTGAGAATCTCATGAGGTTCAGGAAGGCCAAGTGCAAGGTCCTGCCCCTGAGGTCAGGGCAATCTCAAGCACAAACACAGGCTGGGAGGAAAACGGATTGAGAGCAGGCTTGGGGAGGACTTGGAGGTGCTGGTGGGTGAGGAGCTCAGCGTGTCCCAGCAATGTGCTCTGGCAGCCCAGGAACCAGACGTGTCCTGGGAAAGGGAAGGGATTGTCCCCCTCTGCTCTGCCCTTGTGAGACCCCACCCGGGGTCCTGCATCCTGCTCTGGGGTCCCCAAAACAAGAATGATTGACTTGTCCAGAGGAGGCCACAAAGTTGATCAAGGGGCTGGAGCATCTCTGCTATGGAGACAATCAGAGTTGGGGCTGTTCATCCTGGAGGAACATCATTTCCCTTGGCTCTGGGGAGACCTTGTAGCACTACCTAAAGGGGATTCAGGAGAGCTGAAGAGGGACTTTGGGCAAGGGCATGCAGTGATAAGACAAAGAGGAATGGCTTCAAGCTGAAAGAGTAGGATTAGATTAGATAGTAGGAAAAAGTTCTTTCCTGTTAGGGTGGTGAGGCACTGAAACAGGCTGCCCACAGAAGCTGTGGATGCCCCATCCCTGAAAGTGTTCTTGCCCAGGTTGGATGGGGCTTTGGCCTAATGAAAGGTGTCCCTGCCCATGGGACAAGCAAAGAATTCAATGCTTAAAAAGCTAAAATATTGAAGTAGGAAATATTTGTAGATTAGTAGTTAATAAATTAGTTCTTTGCTTTTGGGAAACAGCTAGGTTTTGGCCAGCTGTGCTCCAAATCTGTGAAAAATATGGCATAAAGTGACTGGGAGAATGAGAGACGAAAGAAAAAAAAGTTATGCTAAATGTTTCTTTTTGATCTGCTTGTCATTTTTTTATTATTATTTTAGCACTGATCTCTGATTACAAATAAATGTAGCTAATCATGACTAGATTTATTTAAGACTTCACTTTATCAGCATAATTCATGTGGTAGTAATTAGGGCACAACTTGGGTGTTAAACTCTTCCCGAAATAAAAGATACTGGGGAAAAAAGCTCAAAGGAATTAATGACAACATTGCCTGAACAACAGCATATTTATTTTGTAATTTTTCTTCTACCTGATTGATTAGATGATCCACCCCTATATCTGCATTCAGAAAATTCAGCATCGTTGAGTGAATGTTTGCATAACCATGAAGGTAGTGTTAATGAGCAGAAAGGAATGGGAGTTTATTTTAAGGTGCAGTGTTCAGAGTAGCAGCACCACTTTTGTCAAAGAGATGAACTGATGTTACTGTTGCTCTGCAGTGAAATTCATTCACCTATTTACAGGCCGGTTTTCCACATTTCAGCTCATTATTCGTCTCACTTTCTCATTGCAATATTTATTTATAAATTCTGTGAAATATAAAATAATTTTTCATCCCTATAATAAAAGTTGATAAAAGTTGCAGTGTAATGCGGATCTCATCCTCAGCATAGGACAAAAATGGACATTTTACAGTTTTAGTGGTTTGCTTTGGTACTGAGATGTCCTTTTTCTGTACAGCATAAACGGGGAGTTAATTAAAATCTTATCTGCAAATAGAATTTCTCACATCACTTATCTGACCTCTCTGCTTTCCCTTAAAGTATTTTTGTTCTGTTGTTTTTTCACTAGTACTGATGGTGTAGCCACTGGGGTCCAGAGGGATTCATGTGACTGAATACCTTTGGGGTTTATTTTGAGGACTTGTGTGGTGGGATTTTTCGTGTGTTTGTTTGAGTGCACTTTGCAGGGGGGGTGGTAGTGTTTGGTTTTTTATTTGTTTGTTTAGGGTTTTGTTTGTTTGGGGGGTTTTTGCACAGTAGGAATCCTTTGCACTTCTAATGTAGGAAAAATACTGAAGGGGACATACCACCACCCAGAAGTTTATAGAATATAAACTGCTCATCCAAGAACATTCATAGTCATTTTCACCTGCTGTTCTCACACTGTTCTGTTCACACAGGATCAGATGCTGGGGTTTAATGAACTGCTGCAGGATCTGGAAGAACACAGGCAGCATCTCTGCACCCAGCATGAGCATACAGTCTGTAGGAATACTTTGTGACTAAATTCAGCCCTGTAGAACAAGATGATGGAGAAGAAATCCAGACCTTCCAGAGCATCTGAATCACTGGGAAGTTCGTAGCAACATTTTTTGTTCTAGGAAGTGTTGGTGAATCATAGGATAGGGTGAGTTGGAAGGGATCCTTAGAGGTTTGTCATGGCCTGATATTACACCTCTCTCCCTTCACATCTGTTTTAAAGCCTGTCAGTATGCCCTGATAGCTTGTAAGCAAAGACCCTCTTGCCCATGTGAGAAATATGAATCCCATCTGACACAAACAGGTCTGGTGATGTGCTTATTATCCCATTACCAAGAGAACGCAAATTCTGGCTGTGACCCAACCATGGAGCCAAGTATTGGTAGACTGGGTCTGTCTGTTCCTGCAAGGATAGGGGAAAAATGACCTGGGCTCCACATTTCCTGATTCAGCCATTCCAAGGCACTGAAGTCTCTTTTGATTACCCTTGGACTTCACGTTGTGACTTCATCACCCCCAACATGGGAAAGCAATAACAAGTACATCCAAGGGCTGTACCAGGCTGGGAAGTTTCCTGGTCATGTCCTTAACTTGGGCCCCATGGAGGAAGAGGCTTCCCTAAGAGGAGGGTCTGTCCAGCATTTTGGACCTTCTGTTCCCTTCAGAGAGGAGTCATACATAGCTATAGACAGGAATGAAAAATGGAACTAATTTTCATGTAATTACTTTAGCTTTGCTTCTGGGTGTATCCTGCTAAGCTCAGTAAAGGAAGAATGTTTGCAGAAGGAGTTGGAGTAGTTGCAGGTTGGTTTAATTAAAAACCTGGAATACTTGGCCACCATTAGCGAGATCCAGTCTGAACCAAGTGCACAGTTAACAAAAGTCAATCTGATCATAACAGTTTTTACATAAAAAAATCAAGTGAAATTATATAGAATGCTGTCAAATCATTATTTAAGGTAATATCTGACCTAGATCAATGGTCCCTTGTGCTGGCCTCCCTACAGTAAGAGGTTAATACAGCCTAACACCTAATCCTAGTCTATGATTATGTCATTTGTGTGCTGGAGAGGGCGAGCCATCGTGTAGAGGATAAGGAGCAGGTACTCAGTAGCTAGCTGTTGTCATGCCCCTTCCCAAGCCCCTGAAGGTGGGTGCTTATCTGCCCTCGTGTCCCACAGTTCTGGAGTTCCCAGTGAGACGCTTTGTCCCTCTCTTGGCTCTTCGGAATCCGCTCCGCAGGGCTCCTTCCTCCTCACTGCTTTCCTGGGAGCTGGAACCCCCTGTGCCTGTTTCTGTGCCTGTTGGAGGCCTTTCAGCAGGGTCACCTGGGCAGGGGAGCTTCTCCTCTCGGCACTCCTGCCCGTGGGGAAGCTTCAGGCTCTCGTTGAAGAAGGCAGAAGCCATGCACTCAGCTGCAGCCTTGTCACAGGCACAGAGGAGCTTCTCACATGTGCTCCAGCCAATGCCTGAAAGAGAAGTTTCACAATTAAGGTTTGAAAGCTGTTAACCTTACTTCATGTATAATTTGCCACAGATAGATGAGCTATTGAAATAAAATTTTCAAATCTGCCATGAATTTTAGTCTCCAAAGTCACCATTAATTACGTAAACAAAAGCCTGACACCAAGGTGCTGGACAGTGGAAAGTTCTACTGGCTTTAGTAAAATTTGTGAATGCAAATGCACAAATAGCTGACCTCTGTCCACAATTGTAAAATGTGTGAATGTAATTTTCTCAGCCTGACCTGGTCACATACACAGCAGTGTAATGACCGCTGTCTCAACTGGGAAAAACTTCAAGTTTTTAGTAAACATTGCTGATTTTTTCTAAGCTAAATATTTCTGTCTCCATACTCAGCTCTAGCAGCTCTGTCATAGTATTATTCAGTCTATCATGTTGATACACTGTCATCAGGACATGAGAATTTCCTCTCACACAAGCTTACATTTTGGCGTGTGATCAAAACATACAACATCAGATCTCAAACTTCTTTCTTCATGACATCCAAGTTTCTTAACTTGCTCCATACAGCAGTGATGAGAGAAGCAGCATCTAAAACAAACAGTAGAAGTAAATGGAAAATACTTACTCTTCCTGAATCCCAGGATGCTCACACTTATTTGTCTGTCTTTATTTTCAGTGCCCATTTAAAACTAAAAAATTCTAGTTTTCATATCCTGGATTTTTTTTTCTATGAAGAGCAGAAAACAACCCAAGCTGTTCCTACTTTCTTCCTATACTTGTTCCTACTTTCACTTCCCTCTTCCTAATTCCTATATTTAAAAGAGGTGTGTTTTAATTATGTGTCATGACACATAATTACAATTGTTACCATGACCTATTCTGCTGTGAGAAATGTCTTCCAGTGTTCAAATCCTGGCTGGAAATCTGAAAACTGCGTCATCATACCCAGATCATGCCATCAACTGATCCAATTTTTCATGTGTGGGCTGTCTTGTTTGTGTGTGAGTACAGGAAAAGGTGTGTTCTCTACTTAGACTGATGTGCCCCAACTGTAATGAACTTCCACAGAGGAAAGGATTTTTAGCTGTAAATACAACGCTCCCAGAGGCACTTTTATTTATGGAATTCTCTGCACTGCAACTCATCATCAGCCATGCTGGCTCTTGGCTGCAGCTCCAACAGAACTTTGTTCCAGCTCTGCTCCCTTCTGAAGGACAGTGTGCCCTGGGTGGATGTTAATTCTTCTCTTCATAAGTCACTTTCTAAGCCACCTATTGGCCAAGTTTCACTGTGGCCCTTATCCTCATCTATTTAATGTACTTCTCCTTCTGCTCTGCTTACCCTCCATTGTTCTCCTTTCTTATTTTAATTGAGTTAGTAAGTACTCTCCAAAACATTGATGCAACAATAGAATGTGGTTTAGCCATATTAGAGTATTTTGTGTTTTATTTATATAAGTGGATTTTTTCCCCCCAAAATGTGATTTGACTACTGCTACATAGCTACACAATGCCCAAAAATTATGTATCTTCCTTGGTCCAGGGCACCACAATAACACCCAGAGTTAATGGCACATGCAGAGGATCCCACACCTGTCCAGTGCATCGGTGGGATCACCTCTTCCCTCTTGGCCACAATAGCAGCCATAAGACTCAAATTCCTCTGGGCATCGCTCAGTTAAACAGAACAGCATTTCTCCCAGCTGGGGCAGCTCCCTCTGCACTCTTCCACGCCCTCTGTCTTGCAGAAAGGTCAATCGCTCGCACGCTACAAAGCAAAGTTATTATTTGACACATCATGTTTTCACTTGAGGGCTCTCTTGTGAAGATACAAGTGTTTTTAGAGCTATCAGAAACTTTGAAGAACAACATTTTACTGTCTCTAAATTATTGCTTCAGTCCATGAATTGTGGCTCTTAGAATACTGCAATATTTAAAGGAGAGAGAGATCCTTTTGAAAACAGAACATTCAAGTCAAATTGGACTGCAATAAGAATACTTAACAGTCCTTTGTAATCTTTCATAAGTAAATTTTTTTTGAATATTCAAACTCAGCTGAGTATTGAGTTTCTGTCTTGGTTATTTGCAAAATACAGTCCTAACATCTTGTTCTTCCACAGTAATAGCTGTGACCATGACCGTGTTTTGCTGAAGAAAATAAATTTTTTTTGTTCTCATTTGAAATATAGTCCAATTTGAGCTATAGTGCCCCTAGACCAAATGCAGGAGCGATCTATTGTAATGGCTGTTGTGCTGCTGAGGTTTTGGCATCACCAAATCCCAATCTTAATGTCTCTGTGGCTCCCTCTACTCAGGAAAAACTGATATTGTGGTAATTATTCATAAGATTTGGAAGAACACAGTGTTCCATATCAGGAAAAAGATATCAAAGGGGCCTCTTCTGGGACTTTGCCAGGGAAAGGATGGAAGGGGCTGATGGCTGGATTGTAGAAGGAGGGAGGGCAGGAGGGAGGGAAGGCTTCTGTTCCCTCTGCATCTTCCTTTCTCCCATGAGTAATCCCATCTTCCCCTCTATAGCTCTAGACTGTTTCCCTGCTCCTGTCAGGGTCAATCCTGGTTTACTGTCTCCAACAAGAAATTCTACCCATGTGCCTTCTTGGGGCTTGACTCATTCATGTTAATTCACAGAATAAACCACAGGTTCAGGGAATTGATCTCTGCTCTCTAAAAGCTGGTATTTTAAAATCAAATTTTCCAGTTTGGTGAAAGGTGGGGTTGATTCTTCTGCTCTTTTCCAGTTCCAGGGCTGCTTCTCTCCATTGGGAAGCCTAAAAGGATGGATGGGACAGTCGTTGAGTGTGGATTTATAGTTGTGGAAGGTCCAAAATATCTTGGGATCTCTGAGCAGGAATTGTAACAGATTTAGAAATGGTGAGAAAAAGTCTGACTGACAAGACTGTTGCAAAAGGTCAGAATGAAGAGCAGGAAAATTCCTATTACTGCTGCTTATAAAACAAAGTAACTTAAAGATGTGATTAAATTACTTCCAACAAACAAAACCAGGAAGAAACATTCCCTGAGCTCACTTTAGACACTGCACTATATGAAAAATGTACTTACAAGCTAATAATAATTAGTTTTTATAAGTGTGACTGACAGTATATTGGCAGAAGTGGTTAAAGTGATGGAAGCTTTTGCAGATGTCTCCACCTCCTGTTCTTCTCAATACCAATACATGTGTGTTTATCTAACTGGTTTAAAATAACTATAATCTTTATATGTAATACATACCTGCTTTTAATATAGGGGTTGCTGAATATTTCATCAGATGTAATGGGGAAAAAACCCTTTATTTACCTTTTCCTGCAGGTCCTCTCTCAGACAGTCCCAGGTCCAGAGCTATTCCAGAGGAGGCTGTGCTCAGGCCACCCCTTGCAGGGCCTGTCTCTGGAGAAGACAAATGCATAGATTAGACTTGTGAAGGTACAATAAACTCTTCTTTCAGGAGTGTGTCCAAAAGTGCATATTCTAAACTGTTATTGACTGCAGTCTTCTAAAAGTTGTTAATTCTTAGTGGGAGGCTGTTTATTAATGGTTAAAGTTTGTCTGGTCAGGTGGCAGTGAGCTGCCCTTTCCAGGGCAGTCAGTGTTATACATCCTGTATGTAACCTGATTTAAATAACAAAATAGTTTCATTCTACATATCCATGAAAAATGCTGACTCCTCAGATAGCTGTGAGCACTAATAAGGGAGTTCTCTAAATTAGAAAAGGTGTAATTAATTTTTCACTTGCCTTTTCCTTTTGTCCTTGCAGGTGTGCCTGCAGGACTCTTGTTGGTGGGGACAATTTTGACTTGCATTGAGTTGCTATCTCCCAGGAATGAGGCTGGGGAGGTGATTATCTCTTCCACTGAGACCAAACCTTCCATAAATCCATCTTCTTCTGAATAAGAAGAAAAAAGAAACAAGAAGATTTTAATTTTAGATAGCTGGTGAGAGTAATATCCTCAGGCAGAACAAGTGTGAATTGATGGTCATAGAGAAGGAATATCTGAGAGGAAAATTGGAAAAGCAGAGTATCCACACTGGTCATTTATTCCCATCTCTTGCCTTTCAGAAGAAAGGACTGTGGTTAACTATGACCAGTTTAACTGCTGATTGTTTGGGTTTTTTTAATTATTTATATACTGAAGCAAAGAGCTTTGCCTGGTGCTGAAAACCATATTGTTTGCTGCTTAGTCAGCTGTACTGAGAGATAAAGTACAGGTGAGAAGTCATGAGATGTCATTTGCTGAGTAAATTGCTTTAAAAGTGTCTGTTCACCTGAAGTTTCAAAAACTGAGAGTAACATCAGTGAAAGGAGGAAATTATTTGACTGGTGCAGAGCTGGGTGACTGAAGGGTTTATTGGGTTGTAACCACAAGGAAATATTGACGGGAAAATAAGTTGACAAATTATTGTTTTTAGGAGATTCTTTATCCCTAAAATTAAATTGGTATTTGTTTTTAGATTATCTGACACTTTATAGTTGATGAGGAATATTTTGTTGAATATGGAGGTACTTAAAATATTTTTCTTACTTTTTAAACCTTCTTATATATAAACTAATTTGTAAAGGAAAAAAAAACCTGTTATCAAGGAGTTTCATTATTTTTTGTAAATTCCAATATTAACAGTGTGGCATTTCACAAAATAAATACTTTGTAAATACTAATGAGCATGTATTTTCATATTTATAAAGCTTTCCTTTTGAATTCTTTGGCTGAATTTATTAATTGGACTAAACTCAAATTCATTAAGCTTGTCCCTCTGATGTTCTGGTTTTAGTATGTGTTGAAAATAACCTGTCACAGGATAAGAGAATAGATTAAAATAAAAGTACTGCTAAGAACACAGCAAAGCCCATGAAAGGTGGTAGAAAGGGGTCAATAGTCACACACTTGTTTTGATAGCTCAGCAAGGTGCATTTTTTATGCCACTTTGTTTGGCAGTGGAATGTTGAAATGGAAATTATTCCCGTTGGACATAAAAAATAAAACAAGAGTTTGGGAAATTCTACTCTTAACTAAGAATAGATATCACAAATCATCTCCTGGGGTCCATGCAGACCTGCAACACAAAACACAGATTTTCTGATACAACAAAGTTAATGTAGGAGAGCATTTAGTGATTTTCATCAGTGCTTAGTACAGCAGTGCTGAATTCTTTGGGGTGGGAGACAGGGATATTGTTCAAATGGTATAGTCAGAGTCAAAAAATGACTGCTTTCTACTCTCCATATGCAGTTTTCCCTGACGTTTTTTCTGGTGAATTTCAGCCTGCCTGGATAATCCTTTCTACACAAAAGAGGTCACAGAAAACTTCCAGATCTACCAAGGTGCTCCATTTTCAGCTGTACCTACTGGTGAGGCTGTGCCAAAGCACAGACACCTGTGAAAGCTGGAACAAGTTTTAGATTGGGAGTTCCATTAAATTGTCTATAATAAAGAAGGAGGCAAAACAAAATGAACCCTTCTGGCAGCAGATGCTGTGAATGTAATTTACAGAAACAACCATTATGTCATAAAACCTTATGTGAAGACGCTTTCAGAAATACTTGGATGAGGAGTGCAAATGAGTGGCTGGAGGCAAGGAACAGCTAATGCTTCTCAGCCAGCTTTTACTGTTTGTGTATCTGCTATCTTACCCTGATCTAAATTTGATTCTCCAGCAGCCCTGTTACTACCATGCACAGAATTTTAACTGTGACACTTTTAGTTGATGAATTACTATGTCAATCAAAGAAAGAGAAAAGCTGAGGGTCACTGACCTTTTATTGAGAGGATGGGGGAAGCAGGAGCTGTGCCTCTGTGGTCCCTTGAGGTAACTGTACAAAAACCAGAGGTATTATGGTAGTGACCTGCCAGCTGAATTTCTGCCATGCATTTCTGAAATTACTTTTACTTAAAGCATTACAAAGCTTAACCAAACAGCCTGGATTTATAAAGATGGTAATTAGGAGAAGCTAAGTGTTTTGCTGACAGATGTGCAAATCAGCAAAAGAAATATCCAGAAATCCTGTGTTGAAGATTTTTGACTGTGACACCACAGAGTTCCATAAATGAAAATCCATCTTCACTTGGAGTCAAGAGCACCAAATTTGTCAACAAATGTTTAATGACTCTTACCTCTGGCTTTGGAAGTTGCCAAGAGTATGTCACGGGGCTTCAAAGAAACCACTGTTGAAAATAGAAAATATAAACTCAGGTAACACATTGCCAGCACAGTTATGAACAGTCAAGTTGCTGAGAAGGGCTGTTTTGTGAAAACAGGAAGATTCAGACATATCATGGACAGACATTAACCTGTTTTTCTCAGTGGTTGTAGACAAAGTGATGCTGATAAATTAATCTCATTGCATGCAAATAATGTACATAGCACTAACACAGGATTCTATGATTTTATGAAAGAAGCAGCATAAATATGAGTGAATTGGGAAGTTCAGTATTAAGTCCATTTGACAGACAAATAGACTAAACAGGATTAGGTCTGGCATCCCAGTGTCGTGCACAGAGGACACCACATTCCTTGTGAACACCTTGTGTTTACCTGCACTGAAACTCAAGTATGGATGGGCAGCCATAAGTCCAAATAGCTCCCTTACCTCTAACATTTCTTTACCTGATAAAATTATTTTCTTTTCTCAGCTGCATTTTGATAAATTATAAACATAAAATCAAATTATCTAAAAAAAAATCTCTACATTTTTCTGTGTTAGGATGTTGTGATGTGAAGAATTGTTTGTCTTTGAATGAGTTTCTCAGTGATGCTTAGCCTTGGTTTAATGCAGCTTCCACAGTTGTCAATGTTGAAGCTTCTTTGAGCTTAAACAGGGAGACAACTGTTAAATAGTAAGTGGTTCTCCAAATGTTTCCTTCAAAGACTGATTAGAAATTATTTTTGTGTTGTTTTTAGCTTCCTAAAATTCCTAATACAGCTTTTTATTCCTTGACAATACTTGGAGCCATATGATGGACTGTGCCTCATTAGGGAGCAGGAGTAGTTGTTTTTTCAGGAAGTAAAAGATTGCTATAGAAGTGCAAATACAGGTGCTCTCATTCCTTCAGGAGTTCTGTTTTCTAGGCAAGAATGAAAAATATGGTAAAAAACTATTTTGATAATACAGGAGAGATATGAAGGAACAGGCAGCACTTACATTCAGCATAAAGCCTTTTCAGGTACCAACACTTGTGCATATGCTGCTATTTAAAAATAAAAAACAAAATCCAAACAAATAAACCCACAAACCTTTAAATGTCAGAAACACTGTTTTTTAAAAAGAAAAAAAAATCCATGTGTTTTTCATTTTTCCAGATTCACACTTAGGGCAATGGCACACACAGAGGAACACACTAAGGCTTGAAATCAGGTTCTTAGGTTCTCAAAAAATCCAACTTTGCATCTCTCCCCATATAAGCCAGTCTAGTGGAAAGTGTCCCTGCTCACAGCAGGGGATTTAGAATGAGATGATCCTTAAAGCCCCTTCCAACACAAACCACTCTGTGATTTTCTGGGTTAAGCTGTGGCCTGGTTGCCTGTGTGCTTGGCAGATATGGGGTCTGTGAACAGAGAATCATGGAATCATCAGGATAGGAAGAGACCTTCAGATCACCCAATCCAACTGCCAGCCCAGCACTGCCCCTGAAACCCCTGAGCCACTAAACCACATCACCCAGCACCAGATCCAGACACCTCTCCAACACCTCCAGGGGTGGTGACTCCACCACCTCCCTGGGCAGCCTGTTCCAATGTCTGAACACCTGAACAGTGAAAAAATGCTTTCTAATATCTAATCTGAACCTCCCCTGTCTCATCTTAAGGACATTTCCTCTGATTGTTTCCCTGCAGGCACAGTAGAAGAGGCCAACCCCCGCCTCACTACACCCTTTTGTCAGGTGGCTGTAGAGAGCAGTGAGGTCCCCCTGAGCCTGCTCTTCTCAAGACTAAACAAACCCATCTGCCTCAGCCACTGCTCATAAGAAATGTTCTCTAGTCCTCTCATGAGCCTTGCTGCCCTTCTCTGGAAACACTCCAGCCCCTCAATGTCCTTTTTAAAATGAGGGATCTAGAGCAGAGCACAGCACTCAGGGTGCAGCCTCATGATGCAGAGGAGTTATCACTGCCCTGGTCCTGCTGGTCACACTATTGCTGGCACAGGCCAAGATGCCATTGGCCTTCTGAGCCTCCTGGGCACACACTGGCTCCTAGGGAGACAACTGTGGACCAGCACCCCAGTCCATTTTCCAGCAGCTCTAATGCCATTCCTCCCTTAGCAGTGTTCCTTTGCTTGTAATGGAGCCACAAAAGAAGAGTGCAGCAGCTAAACTGGATTATAGTCCAAGACTGGTCTCCCTGTCTGCTTCATATCTTGGCCCTCTCATACAAGGTGCTCCCTCCCAGAGCTACAAAGGGCTTTGGGTGCTTCTGTCCCTGGCCTCTCATGTTGCAGTGCTAACCATGCAGGCAAGAGAACAGATTCTCACACTGCAGCAGTGAGGTTTTGCAAGTACCCACTCCTCATAAGGCAGCCATTGATTGTAGCAAAAAAAATAAAATAAAAAAAAAAGACTGTTACAAGAAACACTTGGTCTAGTGCTTAAAGACTCACCAAGGAGGCTCCAAAGTGAGGAGGTTTCAGCCTGTATCTCTTCATTGCAAGTAAATAAATCACCAAACTGGTGGCTCCTTGGCATAAACCATGCTCAGAATTTCCTCGTGCTACTGCTTGATCTTAATTAATTCTATATCTTTTAAAGACAAAAAATATGCAATTGGCTGTGGGTCCAGTGGTTGGCACTCACAGAGGGCATCTCTGCCAAACAGCTCACCTGCTCTAGCCTGTGTTGCCAGGGAAAAAAGGCTATTTTGATGAAAACAGCTTTTGTTGTAGAGAGTTCATTCTCGGCCCTTGTGAAACTTACTGTAAACGCATTACATTTACAAATTTACATTACATGCACAAATTGAAAAATTGCACCTTCCCATTCAATCTTCCTTCATCACCAAAACATTACACCTAATTTTACATCACTCCTTTTAGAAGGGCAGAAAGAAAGCAAACATCTGTATTCTCTCAGCTTTTGGGAGGTGAAAGGAGGGCTCTTTTCACTCTTAAGTTGCAAACCTTCTTCCACAGATGCAGTCACAGCCTGTATTTCATCAGTCTCTTGATGAACCAACTCTGCAAAAAAAAGAAAAATGTTTTTCTTCCAGAAACTCGTGGCTTAGGGTGCTCCTTAGACTGTCTCATGGAATAACACGATCAGAGTCATCAAAAGGGAACTTATTTCTAAATAGTAGTATGAATACAGCAGCAGCATTAAAATATTGCTTTAGTATTTATCCCCTGCTGATACCAAACTCTATTGAGCTACATGCAGTATAATAATAAAAAATAATCCCGAAGAGTTTCAACCCAAACAAGAGGAATTGGCTAGCAGTCAGCATTCTTTAAATTCCCATTTCCACAGCTTATTTTTCTGAGTATAGGTTGGTCTCAATTTAATACATTCCAGACAAAGAATTACAGAAGTGACCTACCCTCCTTGTGACGTGTTGTCAGTTCTCTCTTGTTGGTTCTTTCTGAAAGAGAAAAGTCTCTCATAAAGTGTGAGAAGGAGATTTTTTCACTGTTTGATCTTAATAGTACAAATCAGGAGTCCATTGAATGTATTCCTATTAAATCAAAGATAATACATGCCCATTTCACCCGGGTTTTTTTCTCTGTAATAAAGAACCTACCAAAATCCTTTGCCTATGGATTGATTCATCAGAGAGGGTTTGTTTTGTTTTTTTTTTCCAAAGTCAGAACTGGACAGAACAGCTACACAGAATAATCATAACATGAGTGAACATTAAGTGAAAATGCTTCCTTCAAAGTTACTTCCCCCCCACCCCCCATCAAGAAATATAATCAGGCACCTAAAATAAGCAGAGGCATCCAGTGAACTAAAATTCAATCTATCAGCAGTGACAAAATCAGCATGATCTTCCTGTTAGCACCAAACAATTTCCCCTTTATTTTTAGTGTGTTGGATCTACCATACTGTACATTAGGGACATCTGATCCCAATGAAAGATTACTGTATTAAAAAAGACAACGACCTGGCTTTGATGCAAACCTTCCTGGGGCAATTTCTTCTCCCTTGGTGTATTCAGGAGGGTAAGCACACATCCAGGGAGTGATACAGGTGTGTGTGTGACCTTAGCACTGGAGGCTGTGACTGTGAGCCATAGTATTAGCAAAGCTAATGCTGCTTTTTCACATCTCCCTCAGCTTGGGAGCCCAGAGGTCCTGTCCCTGCCATGGTCTGACTGCAGTCCATATGAATGAAGTTTTTAATCCAGGCCTGCTTCCAGGGCAGGCATTTGGTCTTGCAAGGCTGTAATTTCAGCTACAGAACATGGCAATAAACATCCCCTTCATCCTTAGCAGGGATTTTTTCCTTCCAGAATAGAAACCAAGTAACTGAACAGAGTATGCCTGTTTTTGCTTTTCCAGACAGTTTTTGAATGATTTAAGGGAAGATTTAGGTTAGCAATACTTTCAGCATTTCCTGCTAGTGACCTCATCACAAGTATCACTCATTCATTCCAGGTGGCACAGCTTCCTGAAGAAAAAAACAATTCATATCTAACTGGAATTTCCCTGTTGCAGTTGTGTTCCTTGTCTCTTGTCCTGTCCCTGTGCACCTCCAGGCTCCATCTTCTCTCCACACCCCACTTGGTATTGAGAACAGCAAAAAGATCTCCTCTGAGCCTTCTCCTCTTTCCCCATGGGCTCCAGCCTCCTTCCCCATCTCAGCTGGCCCTGCTCCAGGACAGCAATCAGTCTGCCACCACCTTCTCTCCTGGTATTCACCCAAGTAGCAGTAAATGGACAGAACACATGAAACAGAGACCAGATTTACGGCAGGAAAGCACCCAGCTCCTGCTTCATTCTCGTTGGGTCACATTTGATGCCAGGAGAAAATCTGGCAAGGGGGCAGTGATCAGATCCCTGCTGTTACCTGTAACTGGAGATGGGCAGGAGGAGACATCCAGCCCATTCAAGGAGGAGTTAATCTGTGCATTCACAAAGCATTCAATGGCATCTTTGTCGCAGGTGCAGAGGAACTGTTCACAGGGATCCACAGATTCTGAAGGAAATAAAATTCCAAACAAGGTGCTATTGAAAAATCTTTTCCACCTTCTGCTTTTTCCTCCCTGTAAGGTTTGCGTCTGTATTTTGTTAGTGCAAACCTATTTATACTGTGCAAAAATGTTTTTAATTTGAAACAAAAAATGGAAATTGTATCAGATTGTGGCTTAAATAGAATGTAAGGATATTAGTTTAGGGATTCTGCTCCTCTTTGCTGGTATCCTCAAACCATGTTCTAGCACAGTCTTTTCTGAGAGCCAATACTTAGGAAAAATTATATTGCATGTTATTAGGTATTAAAGAACCCCACTGCACTCTTGTCAGGCCTGTAGCAGCACTGCATGGAATAGCTCCTGTTACAACACACCATCTCTGCCCTCACTGGTGATAGTGCTGGAGCTGAGGAGTGTGCATGACCCTCTGAACAAAGAATCTGATCCCTCAAAGTGCAGAAAAATCACGCCTTGATGCCTCAGAAGAAGATTGTTTTTCAGGTCTCTCCTCAGCATCTATTGCATTTCTGATGTGTGGACACATCTCAAGCAATGCTTAGTGGTCCTGCAAAGTAAGGGAAACCCCAGGAAGAGGCTGCCTGTTGGAGGAGCTCTGGGAAGTGGAAGTGGTTTCTGATTAATTTGTCTATGACTTTTGGCAGGTAGACCAAAACGAAACTTCTGGTCGCAGTGAGGCTCCAGTGTTGAGCTCTTTTGACAGGGCAGTCTCACCACAGGTCAGGTTTTTAGCAGAGCAGCTGAAATCTGCAGCAATCTTTGATGGGTCCCACGTGCACTCCATCTCCAGCGCTTCCTCGTAGCATTTGCGGTGCTGAAAACAGCATCTAAAAAAGGAAATAACAGAGAGGTCAAAGGGTTTCAGTTCAAGGTCAGAGAGTAGTGATGTCACGTGGCTCTTAAACAAAACTGCAAAAGATGCCAAAGGAGAAAAGGGGTTTGTGGTGTGATCCTCAGACAAAAGCAAGGCTGAGTGCTGCCTTTGCCTGAGTCAGAGTGGTGGGATAATGCAGAACTGAGTGGTGGGAGCAGGTCTGCCTGCTGTGGGTGACCAAACATTTCTCTCCTGCTGTGGTTCCTGGGTACTTGCACGGACTTTACAGGCACTTTAAGTAAGAAATCCACTACCAGTGCCCAAATATTCCCCTCAGCACTGTCAGCTCACTGACAAGCAAAGCCCCAAAAGTCAGCTATAGAGATCTAGAATCCAGTCCTGATCCAATCTTTCTCACTGCAGATTTGGAGAACTGCAATGAACCTGGCACTCATGGAGGGTTAATGGCTCTGCAATGTGAATTCCTGTGTCTCACTGGGACTGTAAAATACACTCCTTTATTTCTTGTACTTCTATGCAACAATCACAATTTAAATGCACCATTTAACCATGGGAAAGGGCCACGAAATATTTTTTCTCACATTGGAATAAACCAGTTTTCTCCTGCCACTCTACAACATAGGCAGTCAGAAACCTCATGTTTTCCTGTATCCCTGCTATCCTACCAACCTCAAATTGCCTACAGGGCCACTTAAGCTTTGAATAGGAATAAAAAGTCAACTAAACCAACAAGCTTTTCTTAATCCTCTCTTCAGCTCTTTGTACAGATAAATCACCTACACAACATCTGTGCACTGACATCAGCTGTAAATGAAACACCAATGAAACAGTCATCATTTACCCCAGGTAGAATTGTTACATAGATTAAAGGGCCTTGGTGTTGGATTCAGTTTGAAATACCCTCATTTCAGAGAAATGGACTCAAAACACAGATCTGTTATTGACTTGCATCTGGCCTGGACAATGCTGAAGGCAAGGACAACACAAACATCCAAACCCAGCACCTGCTGTCAGGAAGGCTGACACCTGCTCCTTGCCAGGCTCCCTTCTAGGAAGCCCTTCTAGGCTACATGTGCACTTCTTCACCCCCTACATTCAGAAATAATTTAATATTCAATCACTGACTTTATTAATAAATAATGATCACAATATTTAATTTATCTTCACAACCTGAGGAGTCCAAGGAATGTACGTAAAAAAAGTGAGGGCAAATAGCATTCAGCAGAAAGGCCTGATGGCTCCTCTGCACCACAAATTCTACTGTGCCATGTTCCAGAGATGAGGCTGAAATCTGTGAGCTCCATCAGGAACAGGGTTTTGAACACCAAACTGGTGATATCTCAACGCTTTCCTGACTACCTGAGGTCTAGTGAGGTGTTAGCACCTAAAAGCTCCTCTAACTGCATAAGAAGTCTAGCAAAAACTCTCTGCACTTCTTGTTTGTTTAGAGATTCACAATTACATCAACATTTACTGCAACAGTTAATCCAAAAATTTGCTAAGTTTCCATTTACAAGCAGGACATAGTAGGACATAGATTGTCTTCTGGGCCTGCTTCTCTTTCACAAGGTCTGTGGAGGTAAACTTGGCTCCTAATTTAGGTATGACAATGAACTACTCTGGGAAATGGGAAAAGGGTCCTCTTACAGGCACTAGTACTTTCTAATGCCTTAAAAACCTGCTGTGAGGCACTGAGCCCTTTTCTGTGCAATAGAAATGGCACAGGAAAGCCCCAAGATTTGCAAAACTAGTTTCTAAGGAATAAAACCAGTGAAAAAAAAATTGCTACTCTGTGAGAGCTGTCTCTGGGAAAGACATGCAAGCCACTGGTTTGGAGGCTCCCTTGAACCAAGAGCACATCTCTGTCAGTGGCAAAGCAATAATCAGTCTCTGTTTGCTGCATGCAGCAGTAGGAGTTCTGTGCTGATAGGGAAACCTCACCCCAGGGCTGCAAAACAATTTGTAAATGCAAACTGGCTGTGTGGGTGATTCTCAGGACAAACCTGCTGATGGATGTTTCTGCAGTTTCTGGGTTTGTGCTGCTCTGCATTAAAATGAAGCTGAGTGAAGCAAAAGCCCAGGTGCTCAGCTCTTGGGTATCAATCCATTGAACTGACTCGAGCTCCTGTTTCAGGATATCATCACAATTGTTCAGAAAACCTTTCACAGAGCAGTTCCATGGCTTTTTTCCAGTAGCAGGGTTAGATCTCCATTTTCCCAGCCATCCCGTGCTGCAGAGTGGATGGATTAATTTCCACCTATCTATAGGCTTAGCCCTTTCTGAGCCCTTGCTGTCTTCACTCAGGGAATTAATACATTATATTGTTGGAAAACCCATTTTCTTCACAGACACGTATGTATCTTGATTCTCTTTGAATTTCCTTTCACATCTCCTGCTGATAAAATTGAGCAACTATTTGATTGTCCTGGCCTGAGATTACATTTTCTCTCACTAGAGCCAGATGTTGTGGGTCTTACTTAGCCCCAAATAAATCTATCTTTTTATTAATGTTTTTAAATCATTTATATAGACGTTATGCTTTGGCTAATCAGAGCATGAGGGCATTTATTGCCAGTCAGGGCAGAAAAGGACCTCTCATGGACATGACTTACTCATCAGCTCCATCCACGGGGAGCCCTTCCATCTCAAACCGGCAAGAGCAACCATAGTCCTCAAAATCCCTGGGACAAAACCCAGTGACACACTTCATTTTGTTCACAAAGTTGAGAAGGGCAGGGAAGTTAGTGAAGATGGACTGTATCCAGGTGAAGTGAGAGCCCAGGCAGTCTGGAAAGAGAACAGCCATAAAACACCTGGTTAGGGGAGGTGAGGCAGGTGTGGGTCACACACAGGTGATGTTTGCATGAATACAGAGCCCAGACAAGGCAGAGACATCGGGCAGTGCTTGGCACTCAGCAGTGTTTAGTGTTCGGTGTCTTTGGGGATATTGCATCCACAAAAATCCCTGTTTCCTCTTAGTAAATGTATAAAAACAAACCCCACAGGATTTCTATTCAGTGCTCAAGTACGAATGGAACAGGTACATACCAAAAAATAATGCAACACTTTCCACATTTTGAAAGACTCCATTGAAGAGTGTGGCATTGCCTAAATGAAAAATAAACAAACAAACCTTGTTTACTAAAAAAAAAAAAAAAAAAAAAAAAAAAAAAAAAAAAAAAAAAAAAAAAAAAAGACAACAAATATCCCCAGAGTTCCCCTGGTCTCACTTCAGTTGTTAAGCCATTTTTAGATGAGTTCTTAGCTATTTGCTCACACTTCCCTGTGATGCTTCTGGAGTACAAGGATTCCCACTGCCATGCAATATGCAAAAAAATAAAGCTTAAACCTTTCTTACTCAAGATTCTTTCAGGTGTGTTAAGCAGCTCTGGCAGGAGTGCAGGCGGCTCCAGTTCTTGGCCACCTACCTCAGCAAATAAATTTGAGAAGAAAAAATTTTAAAGTAAAAAAAGTGCCAAAAAACCAAATCCCAAAAGATCACAATAAACCAGCAACATATATTTCATTATGACACTATGCAGGCATTTTGAACATCTTCCTACATTGGTAAGCTGATTTATCAAAGACATGAAGTATTTGCTCAGCTCCACCCCCACCCTGGGAAGCCCACAATTGTACTGGTGTGGACTGGTGTGTACTGGTAATTCACATCCACCTCAGCTCAAAACCCAGTCTCTGTTAAACAGGTATTGCTGCTGAGGATGAGCTAACCCTTCTCTTCCTGTTCTCATCTGAACAGCAGCCCTTACTGGGACAAATTAGTAGAATTATATAAAATTGGTTTAGTGTCCACTTCTGTCTCAAATACTCTGTAACCCTGTGCTGTAATGTGAAGCAGGGTTATTTGTAGTGATTTGGTTTTTCTGAGTCCATCTTGGCTATTTCCTTATTGGCTCGTGGCCTCTCTTCCTATAACTCTTTATATTTTAATTTAATGATCTCTTCTTCCTTTTGAAGATGACGTGGTAGATTTGGCATATTTTCAACACTTTCATTTTTTTCTGTTGGCCAAGTCCTCAATTAGAGTAAAATATAATATTTGTTCTCTCCCTTCCCATTTTTTCACCTGTTCTTTTCCTCTGCATGATTTCAGAAGACATTGTATTACTTTGGATTTATTTAACCTTGGCTTTTTAAAAAACTGTAGTAAGTAAAGGGTATTTACTGTCTCAAGAATCTAAATATTTAAAATTGAAAAAGCCCATAATGTCAAATTCATGGCATAACTTATGTATCAGAATAACTGGCATTAGGAAAGCTGTCCTTTTTCTTTATAAATATTCTGAGAAAGATCTGACAGTTGTCATGCTCATCTGTTACATTTTCCTTCAATAAATATAGGTGTAAAAGAGTAAAGCAGAGTAGTGGGGTTTTTAGATAAGAGGCTTAACTCTATGTTTGGCAAAGGATTAGGAAAAATAGGATTTTTGTTTTTAAGATCATATATAAGTGCTTTCTCAGGATGTCCACAACTTTTGTGGTGTGAACAAGATGTTCATGGTAACAGTCATATGCTCCCAGCAATTAATTTCTCAAGGTCAGTTGCAGAATATGGATACAGGAGTGAGGATTGAGTGAGTCAGGAAGAAGTGCTTCCTCTTGTGTTATTCTTTTTCCTGAAATTCTTGGTCACAGTGAGAAGCTTTTAGATAAACAGTAATCCATCAAAAGCGTCCTTTTGTGCAGCAGGACTAACAAGAGCAAATTGCTTTCCACAAACTGGAAAAAGTCTCCCAATAAAGGTTGGTCTTTTCACAGAACTGGAACAAGTCTGTTGAAAGCTTCATGGCCATGAGGAACTCAGCTTCAGGTGAAATAATGGCATGCCTTGCAAGAAAAAATAGCATTGAATGCTATATTTGTACATGTGCTTGCTAAAGAAAACTAACCCTTATTTTCTGGCTTAAAGCCTGTATTTCCTCTGCAATGACAAACATCACCTGGGTCAGGTTCTGTCAAGAGCAACTGGAGCCAGGTTTGACACACTGCACAACACCACGGCTCAGACTAAGTGTGGATGAACAGCCATTAATCATTGGGTCCTTTCAGCAAAATGTTTGGAAAACATGAAAGTCCCATAGAGTTGAAATGCATCAGAGGAGAAAATTGACAAAACCTTATTCCAGGGGTGCTGGAAGCTGTGATTGCTCCACTATCCTTCACTTGCTATTAGTTCTTCTGAGCAAACTGAACTGTGTACACCCAATTAACACATCAATGTTTGAAGTGCCTCTGGAGAGGAATGTCTGCTCAGCAGTTTCATAAATCATTGGATCTTCTAATCCTCTCATTACAGACAAAAACTTTTCTAATTGTCACCAAGTCAAGATCAATGAACCAATGTTAGCTAACAAGATTGCTTACTTTTGTTTAAATTGGAGATGGGAGGAGCAAGGAGAAAATACTTCCTGGAGTAATTATTCTCTTTTCCTCTTTTGGTATCAAGTATTTGGAGCTACTGGTCCTATGTCATTCTCTGTAGAGGCATTGAAAGTTTTCCCTACAAAAATCAATCCTCCAGAAGACCCTGGGGATGCAAACTTGTCTCACCTCTCTCTAAAACCTGTTAAAAAATTCAGTATGTTTTGAGGAGATTTGTATGATACATCAGCTCTTGGGCTTTCCCATTGTACACCTTATCCATGGAATTTCTTTTGATGTTTAGTTACATATAAAGTTGTTTCTGGACTGCATCTGCGATTTTCCTACCTGAAAACAGTTTTCTGAAATGTTGCCAAAAAAAACATCAAAAAACATCATTGCACCTCCAGTTGTCTTTTTCAGCCATGACTCACTAAAATATCCTAATACAGGACATGGATGCACTCCTTATAGTCCTTGGGAAGCAAAAACCTCGACTATGCCAGAAAAAGTCAGGGTACAGCAAACCCAAACTATTTGATTTATTCAAGGTAAATCATATTAATTCCTCTCAAAGATGCTATTTCATGCACAGATATTTGCTTCAGTCTCAAAGCAGAGATCAGCAGAATAAATCCCACAGAAATAGAAATCAAGAATCCTCCCCAAACCTAAACATGGTAACACTTTAAATCTTCATATTCTGGTTGTATTTAGCTGGGGCAAAGAACCTAAAACACTATTCTACAGCCTTTTAAGATTTGGGGGAATTTTTCGTCAAGTGTTTTGTAAGAAAAATGTACAAATGTCCAGATATTTTTGAGTTCACTATCAGTATAAAGTATTTTTTAAAATTAAATAAATAATGCAGGTATTTTGGCATTCACTGTCACTGCAGTGGGAAATCTGAACATTCACTCTTACTTTTCTCTACATAGTAGGAGTCTTAAGGTTCAGCTTCATCATTTTAGCCTATATGTTTTGTGTTAGACCTGTTTCTTTTTCGAATTGCAATGCAAGCAACCCCTCAGAAGAGAAGCAACTGGTGAAGCTGATGAAGGTCAGTGCAAAATTTTTCTGTGCTGGGGTCCTAAGTTTTGTCTTCCCTTTCTCTTCTCTTTCCCTGGAAATATCCCCATGGATTGACCAGAAATGGTGACAGACCTTCTAAGAATCCTCTCCACTTGCACATCTTAACTCTTACTGACATTCCTATACAGTGCAGAGACTGCAGAAATTTGAGATGTTTACCCACTCTGGGAAGTGCATTCAGTCATGACAATAAAATCTAAAGAGTTATATGAAGAAAAAACCCTATTCATGCTAAAATTCAAAAGAACTTTAGCTGGACATGGGTTGCATTTCAAGATGCACTGAATGGTTTGAAGAATTAAGACAATATAAATGTATTTAATAAGCAGAATCTCTTTATATGAAACTTATAAATTTGGAATCTTAATGACTTAAATAAGGACAAAATGCTAGCAAAAAGAAGTTGCAGTTTTTTTGTTGTATTTTTAATCACACTACATATTTTGGTGCTTCACTAAATATAAAAATAGAAAAATATTTCATAAGTACTTCATATAAAGGAACATCTTCAAGTGCATTTGTGTGCTGAACACCAAAATTTGAGGAGAGAGGAAGTGTGTTTCTAAGGGATTGTTTCCAAATGATCCTACTTAAAATTGTATTTTGACATAATGTCAAATAATCATAAAAATACATTGCCACTTACCACTGTACACCACCATGGACATAGACACCAGCAGAATTACAATCATTTTTTGTTTAATCCAAAGACAAGAAAAAAGTCACACAGCAGACTGGTGTGCCTGGTGAGTTAAGTAAAATATTAGACAGAATGTTAGCTCTTTAATCTGGGGGTGGGAAGGCACCATCTTGGAAATCATTCTTTTGTAGCCTGGATAGATTTCTGCTTGATAAAATTCAGTTTTTACCCTTAAGTAAATCCACTTATTACAGGAATTATGAGCCTTATATATCCTTGTTTTACCAATATTCTCTAAAAGTCTGACTAACAATATTTATTTTGGTATTGCTTTGAGTCAAAAGACTTTATGAAACTGCCATGTAGCAGTAAAATGGTGGACTTGCAGTTTCTTCTGTTTTGCAAACAGTTTTCACATCTTCCTTCATCTCACAGAATATTCAAATATTTCTTATGTATAAATGAAGATATTATGAAACGTGTAAATGAAGAGTTATTCTGATATTACATCTCTGGAATCCACTTTATCTGTAATCCACTATATTTGTTTCATATCACAACAATTTGTAGTCAAACATTTATTCTAATCTGTGTTGAGACTGATCTAATATATCATAAATTTTCCTAATGAGAAATATGTTTGGAGATTTTCGAAAAAATGTGCGCAAAAATTCTTCTAAATTTGTTGCATTAGTATTCATGAAATGGAAGATGATAGATTTGTTTTTAACTACAGTCACAAATTACTTTAAATTTAGAACAATTTTCCAAGTAAGTCAGGCATAGAGTTTTTACAGCCAAATAAATAAACATACATATATATTAGTTTTCAAATATGCATCTAGTGATTATTATCTGCTTTTCTGAACTCAAATATGGAATTAATTTCTATTAGAAAATCCTGTAATATTTCATCAGGAAGTGAGATTATAACTCTAACAGCTCTAAGTATTTATAGTCTATTTTCCCAAATCTCTTGTCTATATTTTTGTCTATTACTCCCAAGTCACAAATAGATTATTCTACATTGTTTTCTTCTTGCTTCCCTTATTATAGACAACATCCAGAAAAACTTACCTTGAGGGATATTATCCCAGAGCAGCTGGATGAAAGGCAAATGAATATCAACAGAGCCAGTACTAAGTTATTTATACCCACTTGGATATAGACTTCAGCCATGTGATCACTTCCTTTATCAAACCCACTTCAACATTTATTAATTAATTCTTCCATGAGATTCCTTAGAGTCATTAAGCCCACAGTGTATCTGGTAATAAATATGGCTCCAGCCACGTAAAGGATCCATACTGAGAAGTCTGTTCTGCAGGTGCCTTCCCCATACAATAACTTTCCCTAATACTCTTGGCTGTAATTAAATAACAGTTATCCCATTGTTATTAATCACTCACAAAATCTCGAGCATGTGAATATGGCTTTAATAGCTTAGCAAGAGGTAGTGTTTGGTGATGAAAGATGAGTGAGAGTTTACACAGCTTTAAACACTGCATTCCTCAGGGCTGGGAAGTCTTCTTTAATCTATCCATGTTGGCTCTGATCCAAGGCTGGGTGAAATCCAGGAGAAGGTTGATTCAGTGAGCTTTTCGAAGGCTGCTTTTCATCAGGAGGGTGTGCTTTCTGCCAGGGCCAGGCACAGCTACCCTTCAAAGAGTCCAGCAACAAACTGTCCACTGAGCTGGAGCATGGGGAAGTGAGAAGTCTGACAATTGGGAATTGTAAAAATATTTACATGAGCAAAAGGCCCTTTGACTCTGTGACCTACGAGGTTTTTGGGAAGGCTTTGACAAGGTCACCTGTAAAATCCTCATGGAGAAGCTGTTGATATTTGAGCTGGATGTGCCTGGGGACATGGATTGAAAATGGACTGGTGGGGCCCAAGGGCAGTGGCCAGTGACACCAAGTCTGGAAGCCAGTGACTGGTGGTGCATAATCAGTGCTGGGTGTCCATTAATGATCTGGATGATGGGGCAGAATGGATCTCCAGCAGGCTGGCAGCTGACACTGAGTGGGATGAGGGAATGGCATTTCAAAGGTCATGCTGCCATCCAGAAGGACCTCAACAGGAACTCCATGAGGTTCAACAAGAAGTGCCAATTCTGCACTGAGGTGCAGCCTCATACTCCAGTGTGTGCTGGGGCCACCCAGCTGGGAAGCAGCTCGATAGAAAAGGAGCTGGGGTCCTGCTGGACACGGGGTTGAACAGGAGTGAGAGGTGTGCCCTTGCAGGGCAGAAGGCTCAGGGTGTCCCCGGCTGCAAAGGGCAAAGTGCTGCCTGCAGATTGAAGGAGAGGATCCTGCCCCTCTGCTCTGCACTGCTGAGACCACACCTGCAGGGCTGTGTCCAGGGCTGGGCTCCTCAGTACAGGACAGACATGGAAAAACCTGTGCCAGTTCAGAGGAGCTCAGAGATGATGAAGGGACTAGAACATCTTCATGAGGAGGGGACAAGAGAGCTGGGACTGTTCACTAGAGGAGCCTTGGGGGAATCTCATCAATCCAGAAAACCCCTGAGGGGAGGGTGCAAAGGGGACAGAGCCAGTTTCTGTCCAGTGGTGCCCAGTGACGTGACAAGAGGCAAAGGGCACAGACTCAGAGCTGCTGCAGCAGGAGGAGATCTCCCAAGGCACAGCAGAACCATGGCCATGTCACAGCACTTCTTGAACCTCTGAAGTTCCTGTTGGCCCATTTCTTCAGCCTGTTGAGATCCTCCTGGATAGCAGCATGTCTTATTCCCACCATATACTCACTGTGTCGACATTCCTATTTATTCCATTGGCCTAACTTTCAATATCTGCTGTAATTGGTACTACTCCAATCTATCCTGCTCTTTGGCATGACAGAAGTTCTCTCACACTATTGAGCACAGTAGTGAAGTGCATTTTGGAAGAGACCTACTGCATCCCACCTCTTCCTGGCATCAGCATTGCTCATGTTGCCACTTTTCTCCTTGGCTCTACCTTTGAACACATCTTTCATTAGTGAAACAACAATGTGCAGCAGCTATAGTGCAAATAAACTTCTTATGTAAAAACAATATTAATGGCTTGATGACCTACTCTGGGTAGATAGTAGCATAATGCTGCTGCAGCATAGAAAAATATGGGATCATGCAATTAATTTCACTATTTTAGAACAGGCTTTAGTTCACCAGACTTGCATATAAAGAACATGAAAGCCAGGTTGGAAGGGACCCTGAGCAACCTGATCTAGTAGGGTTGGAAGTCAATAATCTTTAAGGTCCCTTCCAGCCCAAACCATTCTATAATTCCATGTTTCTATGAATCCTGGGGAGCTCACACAAATATATCTCAAAGTACAAGAGATCTTGTCACTTCCTGGGTTGACACTGCTCAACAGGCACTGCTAAAGTAATGGAAGTTTTTGATTTGGAAGATAATCTGCATGTCTTTAACACCAGAGAGTCCTTCTTGTCTTCAGTATTTCAGGTTGCTTTTAAATTACTTTGCGTTTGTTACTTTTGATTACTATGTCTCAAATGTCAATAAAATGAATAGAAACTATTTGCCTTCATTAGCAAACCATGCAAATATCCTTTATGAAATAAGATTTTTAAAAGACTTTCAATATTTTTATTTCAGTTGCACCATTTGTATAAAATATCTCTGTTTTTTACACATTATTTTTACAATGCCTTGGAGGAGGAGACATTTCTAGGTTAACATCTCATTAATAGCTTGTCTGATTTCAAATATTTGCAAACAACATGCCGCTTTCTGATTTTTTTTCACCGAGTCATCAAAAAGAAAACTAAAACTGCCACCAGTCTTCCAACTTGCAGTAAAATTTCTCAGTACTCTAAACTGATGTACAGATGTTTTTAAGGCATTTTTGCTTTAATGCTGGAAGAACACAAGAAAATATTAGTTAGAAGAGGTTTTACACGGAAATATTAAAACATGCATGAAGGTAAGAAAATACTTTTTTTAACCCATTAAAAGTCATTATCAGATAAAATAGCTAGCTGATGAAAGACAGCAAATATTCTGTGGATATACAAAAACCTTTGTTATATCTTCATGATAAGGTAGGTAGAGATACAGAGATATAAAGTGAAGATGTACTTACTGTGGGAGTAAGCAACTCTTTTGACTCTTTCGCAGACATAACTTGCATTTTTCACAAACCAGGAATAGTATTCAACACAGTACCTGTAGATGTAGTGACAGATAGCAGATGCAGTTAAAGATAAGAGCCTTGTTATCTTTCATAAGGAAAGGGACTTTGGACAAGGGCATGCAGTGACAAGAGGAGGAGGAATGGCTTCAGGCTGAAAGAGGGCAGGTTTAGATTAAATTTTGGGAAGAAATTCTTTACTGTGAGAATGGTGAGGCACTGGCACAGGTTGCCCAGGGAAGCTGTGGGTGCCCCATCCCTGGAAGTGTTCAAAGTCACATTGGATGGGGCTTGGAGCAACTTGGCCCAGTGGAAGATGTCCCTGCCCATGGCAGCAGAGTTGGAACCAAATGGTCTTTAGATCCCTTCTAACTCAAAGCTATCTCTGATTCTACAATAAGCACAATAAGCACAGTATATCATCCTGCTATTACTAAATAAAATAAAAAGCTAGATTCCAACCTCAGTGATGCCATTAGGTGTTTGGAAAAATGCAGCTGGGCTTTTTTTCACTTAGCTGGAATACTGAAGCCAGATCAGGTACTGATCAGTGCACTGGGGCACATTTGGGTCTCAGCTGGTGGCCACAGACCCTCCAAAACAATCACTGGTGATTGAAAATTGTCATTTGGGAGAAAAAAAAAAAGCCTGGAGTATTTTAAGCAAACAGAGAAAGAAAAGCTAGTGCCAGATTTTACCTCATGGCTTCCTTTCTGGAATATCTTCTGTGACCAACACAGAGGCAGAGCTGAAAGAACCTGCAGAGCTCCATCACACAGGGGTTGATCTTCTGCACGATGACAGTGACAGGAGGGGAGGTGACACGGGGCTCTCTGAGCAGCGACTGTGGGCACCCTGGCGAGAAAACACAGCTCTCAACTAGCCCAAATACCTGCCACAATAAATTTATTGCTCTACCACATCTGGGCTATGGTCTCCACAGCAATGTCTTCCCTATTCCAACAAATAAGGAATATCCTTACAAATGCTGTCCTGGGTCTCTGAGAAAGAAGAAAGGAATCCAGGAAGGAAGGAGGGAGGGGAGGAAGGAAAGGGGAGAGGGAGAGAAAGAAAGAGAGAGAAAGAGAGAAAGAGAGAAAGAGAGAAAGAGAGAAAGAGAGAAAGAGAGAAAGAGAGAAAGAGAGAAAGAGAGAAAG